TCATTTTTTAAAATGAACATGATAAAGTAACCAATGACCAGGACTTACTCCATCCCTTCCAGGAACCATGTAAAAGCACTTACCCCACATAAATTGGTAAGAGTCATTTGTAAGAAAAACACGGATCCCTTGTGAAACATTAAGAAGCGATATATATAAATATGAAAGAAAGCGGTTCATTCATAAGTGATTAATCCCAACCCGCCCCCATTCCCGAGTATAGATTTTTTGTGTTTAATTTTATGATTTTTTTTCTTTTGGTAGAAAGGGGTGGGGGGCTTGTCAGAAATGTATGTATGTTTTCATTATTAATAAATTACAGCTACACAGATTTACTATTAGTTTTACTGCTACAAGGTTCAATCTACACTTTTCTTAGTCTAGAGAAATGATAAACTTGATAAAAATGATAACTTTAAATATGATTCAGACAATTTGTATTTCTATGCAAACACCCTCCCCCCCCCCCCCTAAAAATATCGAAAGTATAATTTTCACTGGTTGAAAGGAATCAATTACAAAACAAAACATTTTCATTACTGACCTTAACAATTTTTTTTTGATTCTTTTTTTTTTTTTGGATAAAGACCATTCCCTTAAAGAAACTACTTGGATCAGGAACATTATCAATATCTTTGTACATATTTTCAAAGTCATTGAATAAAAAGTTCAAATCTGAAATATACACAGATAACTTTTCCCTTTTTTACTGAATCAGATACAGATAAAGGCAAACAGTAGTATTAAAAAGATTGAGTTTTCTGCTACATCCCTCACTAATACAGGGTTTTTAGGTGTGAATTTTTTTCTACATGTAGCCTTTAAATAGAGATAAAATGTACTTTAACGTTCTTTAATTTTAGAATGAGGGTGTAAAGAGTATCAGTTTATATTTTAAATGTAGCAAATCCTATCAAGTGAAAACATTCATCATATAAAAATTGTAAATTATGAATGACATAAATTCTGTTTGAAACTGCATAATATGACTGCGTTGACTATGGGTTAAGGGACGACCATTTGATTCAGAAGGGGGGGGGGCAAATTTTTTCCGAGTCAGATTATTTATTTTCATGGAATTGAAGACAGATTATTTATTTCCAATATGATCCAGGACAGATTATGTATTTTTTGCTTCACTGAAAAAAGTCTGAAAATAAAATAAAAAATCCATCCCGCCCCAAGGGAAAACGTCCAAACTTTATTTCGGGGGGGGGGGGGGGTTAGGCATTTTGTTTCCGGAATAATTTTTTTAACCCATAGTATAATAATAATACTTATTATAATATGGGTTAAAAAATTATTACCGAAACAAGTGCCTTTGGGTTGGAGGTTGTAGCACTTATCAAAGATGGATTATTTATTTTCCTGCCAGTTGAGGACAGATTATTTATTTTCAACATTTTCAAGAACGGACTTTAGTTTCTAAAATCTGTACCCCCCCCTCCCCCCTCGCATCAAATGATCATCCCTTTAATGACAGACATCAACTTACATACATCATTCAATATAAACTTCAACTTCCAGTTCTGTACAAACATGTAAATGTAGCTTGACTTTAATCATTTAGGTAAAATCAATATCCTAGTTCTCTCACATTATAATTCAGTTTTGTTTTTTTTTCCACATTTGTTTTTAAAAGGCACTGACTTTCCAAGGCTGTATTCATTATAATATATCACTCTGACTGAGACATTGTACCTCTTCTTACAACCAATTCAATATAATTCTGATATCTCAAGTTTATCTTTTTCTCCATTTTAAAACTCCTAAGACCTTGAGGCTTAGGCTTCAATATCATGAATGTGAACAGAGCTGATTTACTTTACCATGTGGTCTTTTACATTTCGCCACTGTTCACTCATCAAAATTATTCTTTTGCATGCAGGAAATAAACAAAGAGGTTAAAATTTTTATGCACATTAAATAAACAGAAAAAACCACTTGATTTTACTTGAAATCCAGGATACATATTGATAATGTAAACAACTTCCAGTCAATTTTGTCCAATGATTTTTTTATCTCTCGCACTAAAGAGCTCACAATTATCAAAGGGAGATAATTCAATTTTAAATGAATGTCTGCTATTTTAATCATATATTTCTTATATTTATAGACTGAATACCAACAATGTTTTTAAATGCCTTTTAAAATCAGATGTCATACTTTTTATTTCTGTGAGTAACATGAATTGAAGTAACCGCATTTCATTGATTGACATTCCCAAAAATTGCATTTTTTCAGAAAAAATCAACTTTAGACGCCGTTTCCATGGTAACTACTTAACATTCATATGATCTAACAATATTTTTTGGAGTAGTTTGTGAGGTGGTAAATTCTAGCCAAATTTGAAAAAAATCTGTGACTATGCGTGCCACAAAAGTTTAAGTGGTTACAGAGAATGGCTATTAAATATATGTATGTTGATTCGAATACCCTGTTAATCGGCCGTAACATCTTGCGGTTAACCGATTGGCAATTTTGTATCCGATTGCCATCCCTTGTGTGTGTGTGTGTTTTAATTTTAGGTAGAGTAGAGCTCTATAAAAGCCCAACACTTTTGGCTTTAGTTCTACTTGCAAAATCACTTAAGGTTGGGCGGTGAGAGATATTTCTTATGATTGCCGAAAATAGTATTCATAAATGCTGCTTTTTAACGCCATAGAAATGACAATTGAGTTATTTGAAAGTTAAGACGTATATGGGTATTGTATTTCCAAATTCTAAAAATATTGAGTTAATATCTAAACCTAGAAATAGAGTGATTTTTTTTTCATTTGAAGAATTCAATTCAGCTGCTCAATCTCAAATTTACGTTATGAAATTTGACTCTTCGGCACTGTAGAAATTAAGAGTGGTATTGTATGCAATATTTATAATTAACGCCTTTTTTTAACGTTACCGCTTATCCCACTATGCATTTTAAATAAATTCGTTAATAATATATACTCTTTGTTACTCCTGTGCACCAATCCCCATTTAAGATCAGGTCTGAGTAAACATTCATAACTCATTGCGAAACATTGATAAATTGTGTCTGCATAGCATACGTTCGACTGAATATAAAAATCTATATCTCACTCCTCTGCAGTCAAACACACTCCTTAACAGTTCTAAATATTGCTTTCATGTGTAGAGGAATTCAACTGTGGGATACGCAGTAATTTACAGGTAGGAAAAGTTCTTAAGTACAAAAAAGCATTCGAATAAATTTGTAAATGCATGTACTCATACATTCAATTGATTGAAATGTTCCTGACTACGTACGTGATGCGATGCAGGAAGAGACATTTTCAATGATTTCAAATATCAATAGAGATGGGATTGAGTGGTTTCATTTAATTGGATAAAAGGGTGTTTTATTTGTTTACAGCCATCTGTAGACATATGTTGCCTTATTCTAAATTCACCCCTATCCTTTGTAAAACACGAGTGAAACCTACACAAATGCAGACGATAACTTGTTTATGCATTAACATACATGTATGTTTACGTCTGCCACAGACAAAACTATGTAAAAAAAAGATGACTCCATTGTTAAATAATAATACAAAATCATTTTTTCCCAATTTAATTATTTTACTGAACTTATTTTGATCGCTCTCTCCTTTCCATGATTGTCTTAACAATAACCAGATAAAATGTGAAACCGTGAATCTTACGTTTATTTATAAAGCAGGTTTGTCTTATCTTCATACATCCAAAGGCTGTATGTGTTTGGAAAGGAAAATGGGTATGTGTGTTATATCTTTTCGTATATAATAATCAATTACTGGTAATATCACAAGAAACTTAACAAATAGTTTAAATGTACTTTTAAAAAATCTCTGTATCTATAAGGATGCGTTTCATATACTAGTACTAGCTACTATACTGGAATAAAACACTAGGATGGAGGCAGACTAGCCTCATCATAAAGATAAATATCAAACAAATTCCTATCACTTGATGTCATTAAAATCTTATGGTGCTCATATTGTTATCATTAAGATAAAGACTCCACATATAATAATTTTAAATTAAGAAAGAGGGGTATTTCCCTGCAAAGTTATCTGAACTATGAATATATGCATGTATATCTATATCTTAAATATACACATTTACATATTTCTTCATCTAAATACTATTAACTCAACTAAATATTATAAAAACTCCTTAAATTTACAGTAAGATTATTTACAGTGAGATTTTTGTCACATTTTTTATTACTTAGTTTTATCGTACGTAAGCAGAAAAATGTCTACTTTGTTTAGAGGTGCGGAAGCTTCCATCTCACCACAAATATTTTATTGTTAATCAAGGGACCATCTAGGAAAGTACACACAAATCAAACCACAATGAGCAGGAGTTTGTACTTCGTGTTTTACCAGGTATAAAATAAAATATAGGGGGAAAACCCATAGTTGACACAAATACCCAAAATTTCTCGATAGATTTGCTTTATAATTATCATCTTTATAGTTTATTAGACTATGTTGATGAGGAAGTTTAAACAGTTAAACCAATGTATGAATTGTTTATTTCTATAATTTATTTGTTTTTTTTTTCTTAAATTTGGCATTAAATGTTGACGGAGGCTTTTTATTAATCTTTTAAATCACACATAGAAAAAGGACTGTGAATAACTAGGGAGGAATTTTTTTCCCCAAATTTTCGAATAATCAAATTTTGGAGAGATGTTATGCTCACGAATCATAAATTTTCAGAGATGTGTCCGAGACTAGTGCCAAAACATGAATCTATTTAGATAGGCTTCCAGAAGCGAACATACTGAAATTGACGTAAATCAATTAATCTAGTAAGAAACCTATCTATATGACTTTTATATGCTATCAATTAAAATCAATTCTAAATCGATCGGAGATGGGCATATATAATGACATTAAGAACTACTTCAGTGTTGTGACTTTCATCCCTTCTCCTATCTTGTTCTCGGTAAAGTTTATCCCTTTAAAAAAAGAAAAGAAGAAACATATAATGCTGAAACAATGCACACTTACCTTACTCTCCGATAATGCTATTGGTAGCAACAAAATTGGAAGCAAAAATGATATGAAAACTGTCCGCCACATAAGAAGAATTTTTAGACATCTTATAATTTCATTTTTTGCTCGAGCCATGATCGTTCTTCAAAAACACATGCGTTGTCCACCTCGAAAAGAAAGGTCAATCTACGTTGAATCTCATCGCAAATGTGATATATTTCAATTGTCCCCTTTTCAGCCCTTCATACTGCCTTGTCTGAAATGAAACAGAAAAGAGTTCATTTCGGTCAGAAGAAAATGATGGCACTATTACAGCAAGCGATCGATGAGAAAATCCTAAAGCGTTATATACGCCTAATGAACAATATTTTCAACAGTCTATCCTATATTTTCTCTCCAAAGAGGAACGATATCATGAAGTTTAAGCGAATATAGATATGTCTTCAACAACGCCTCCACCTTCAACATAAAAGCACGTGCGTTGGATTCTGGAAAGGCATGCAATCGATTTTGGCGTATACATTTGACCTTCTCAAAGTCACCTTCATACAAGATTTATATGGTTTTGCATGTTAAGATAGATATGCTTTTATTTTTATTTATTTATTTATTATTTGTTAAACAAATCAATATTTTCCCGAGGATGAGTGATGGAATCGAAACAGCCTTGAGAACTGTGGTTTGATCAGCCTATTTTTTCTTGTAAAGTTGTTGAATCATTTTCACGTCATCATCCAATAAATCAATGCTGACGAAACATTGCAGTAATCAGTTTGTTTAGGTGGTAAATACTTGTTGTTCATGTAATTACTCTTTTTAGATCCAGAAGAAATATACATTAGTATTTCGAATCGACTTTCTTTGAGGCATCACCTTGGGTGCGGTCAATATTAACCCCCAACACCCCAATCCTCGCCCCCAAATAAAATACAAATCCCCAACGAATCTTTAAAAATTATTTGGGATTGGGAAAAGCGATAAAATATTATGAAAGCCGTATTCGCAAGCACCCGACACCTCCCTTACATAAGTCAGTACGACAGGAGAGAAAACACAAACTCAAACATAAACTTTAGAGTACCAAATGCTACTGATTTACTGTAATGTAATCTGCATGAAAATTTAGAAATATTTAGATAGAGACAAATATTTACCTGACTTAAGAAGCGTAATAAACATTACAATGTTTTTATATATCCCGTATTAAACATGTTTTGTTAAATGTCCTTGAGAAATAGTGAATATGAATAGACAGTATTTTTGGGGAAAAAACTATTTTTATATCTTTTATAAAACTTGACGAGTAAATATTGTAAAAGATTCTAGATTTTATGAGATCTGTAAAGAACGTGTAAACACCAAATGAAATGAGAGAATCCAGGCGACGATACCGATACTCTTACATAATTACCTTTTCTCATAAACACTTTTTTCTGAGCCCTAGTTTTCCTTACCTTTACATACATGTATTCAAAAGATTTTTATTTCCAATTTTAAAAGAAAGAGTTCGCATCCCAGATTCAATTGTTAACCAAGAACAAAAAGGGATAACTGCCCTAATGCACATCCTGTATGGTTATCTCCTCAAAGAGACATGAGAATTTTAAGACCCGATAATATTTTTCTAGACATTTTGAGCAGATAATTTTTTTCTGGCAAATTCGTCTAGAATTTGTGATGAGAAAATAAATAAAACAAGATGTGTTTGTGAAACACTGATGCCCCCGTATGGCAGCTTATGGCGAAGGTTAAACTTTCTCAAATGCAAGTCAAACTCCAGGTCAAGAGATAAAAAATGTTGGTACCCAAAAAAGTCTTGTCTCGATATACCTGTAAAATTTGAAAGCCCTAGCACCAACTGTTCAAAAGTTAAGGCGAATGTTAAAGTTTTTAAAAAGTAATGACAAGGTCAAGGTCAAATAAGGCCCCAAGGGAAGGTCTTGTCACAAGTGATACACATGTCCGTGAAATATGAAAGCCCTAGAACCAAACGTTCACATGTTATGGCCAAGGTTAAAGTTTTTAAAAAGTAGGTCAAACTCCGAGGTCAAGGTCAAAAGGTCAAAGTTGTTAGTATCTAAAGGAAGGTCTTGTCACAAGGAATACACATATGAAGTATGAAAGCTCAAGCACCAACCGTTCAAAAGTTATGGCCACAATTAAAGTCTCATAAAATTTTGCAAAAGTGGGTCAAACTCCGAGGTCAAAAATGATGTTACCAAAGAAGGTCTTGTCACAAGGAATACACATGTGAAATATGAAAGTCATAGCTCCAACCAATCAAAAGTTATGGGCAAGGTTAAAGTTTTTACGGACAAACAGACGGACGGAGAGGGCAAAAAACTATATAACCCTGAATCTTCGATACGGGGGAAACATTGGGTAAAACAAATATATGTTAACTGTTTGTTTTGCAATCCGTATCTCTTTTAAATAAAATATTACTTCAGTGTAACTTTACGGAGTCTGAATGACATTGGATTGAAATGAGGAAAGTAGCAGAGAAGAAGGAATATAACGAATATCAGAAAGCGTAGAATTGAGGTATAGAAGAGGAGGAAATGGTAGATTAAAACAGAGTATAAAAACTTTAAAGAGAGGTAAAAAGAGGGTAAAAAAGAGTAGAGTATAAAGAGGATAAAAGACAGAGTATAAAGAGGATTTTAAAAAAACATTATTAAGAGAGTAAAAGAGTAAAAAAAAAGGGGGGGGTAAAGAAAAAGAGGATGAAAAGAGAATATAAAAAGGATAAGAGAAAGAGTATAAAAAGGGTAAAAGAGAAAGAATAAGTTGGTAAAAATATAGAGTAAAAAAGGTAAAGAAAGTAATATTTAGTTTTAAAGGGTATAGGAGGGGAAAAAAAGAGAGAATAAACTTTAAGAAGATGGTAAAAGAGATCATAAAGCTACAGTGCTGTATATTCTGTAACTAAGATCGTTAAATTTTCAGATCGTAATACCTCCTCATTGAATTTTAATGACTTTAATGCTGTATAATTTGTAATGACTATCAGGTTTCAATATTTATTCTACACTGTACATGTATTTTAGATCTGATTTTTCATAACACTTTCTGAGTCTATTGGATATGGAGATGAAAAAAGCCTTATTTTGGCGATAGAGCATTGCAACAAATTACACTAAGAGGGAGCAGAGCTTAGAATCTGATATCAGACACTTGGATTACAGTTCGAAAAAAACTACTTCTAATGAAGTAGCTTAGGACTAAATGTGCACTAGTAAGAGTTGTGTAGTCCCCCTTTTATCAATTTTGTTATGAAAAACAATCATTGCTTTTCTTGATCAGAAATTTATTTGAAGAATGATTCCATATATATATATATATATATATATATATATATATATATATATATATATATATATATATATATATATATATATATATATATATATATATATATAGTAAAACCTGTCTAATCCGACATGCAATGGGAGACAAATTTTGTGTCGGAATAGACAGGGTGTCGGATTGCACAGAGAGAGAAAAAACAATGAAGATAGTAAAATGGGAACGAAATTTAACGTCGGAATTCACAGTGTGACGGATTGCACAGGAGTTGGATTAGACAGTTTTCACTATATATATATAAATATATATATATATATATATATATATATATATATATATATATATATATATATATATATATATATATATATATATATATATATATATATATATATCACTTCCTCCCAGAAGCTTCTATAACAGTCCCTCCTCAGCAAGTATCTCACAGTAATCAGGAAGTGTGGAAGGGCTATAAATGTTCTCACCAAAAAAATACTTCATTAAGTACTACAAATTGTACGATAACGAGGCACTCTCTCTAAAATGCATTATAAGAAAAATTATTGGCCAAATATAACACAAGGAAGAAATCTATTTAAGATCTCCAAAGAAAACACGAATAATAATTTTCTAAAGAGAAATATTTCCCTGGCTTTATTAAAACATAGATTTCAAGAAACAGGAATAAATTCAAGACAACAAGTGCCTTATTATCACCTCTACAGGCTACGAAAAAAATGTCCTCCTCCAAACATACTTTGCAATCAAATTTTGTTCTTTCTTCTGAGCAGAACATTTCCTTCTTTAACATTTACTGTTAAACATTCTAGGTGTCTTATTGAGTTTTCTCTTTTGCAAAAATACATGTACTTCCAATCAAAGCGCAAAGATGTCACTGATAACTTATTTTTGTGCAAATATTTCTTTGTCATAAATTATTGAGTTTATGTACCAAGTTTAACTACGATTCAACTGGAACTTAACAATTATCTAGCATAATTTCGAAATCATGATCACTTTTTAAAGGTTGTTCAAACCTTTTGTTGAGATGTGATAAATTTCTTCAGTATGTTAATTTGAGAAATAAAAATATTTAAAACTGAAAGCAAACGAGCTCCACCTCCAAGCTTGTTGTTGTAGAAGTCGTGAATTTTACAATTCGTAAAGGTTTAAGTACTTAATGTCATCATGCAAACAGTTTTTCAGCTATATGTCCACGAGAAGAGGAGAATACTTTCTAAGGTGTTGTATACATGTGTATTTACTATATATATGTTCAACTTATGCCCCATGAATCCTGGAGCCTGAACCATGTGCCAAGGAGCGATAAATTTCACCACTTTTGGTAAGGAATGGTGTTTATTACAATCAGGTAGAGGACTAGTGTTTATTACAATCATGTAGAAGACTAAGTGTTTATTACAATCATGTACAGGACTGGAGTTTATCATAATCAAGTAGAGGACTAAGTATTTGTTATAAATATAAAGTATGCCTACTAAATGACCAATAGTGGAACTTTTTAAATATGTAATGTATTTTCTACATATGATCGACTAAGCCCCGTCCTAGGGCCTGAATCATGGACCCAGGGGTTATTGTAATCAAATATCAAAGAGTTTGCCTGCTACATCTAAGTGAACAAACTTCAGAAGACTGATTGATTGTTTGTTTGCTTCTTGGATGTTTCACGTCCTTGCAAAATTTTTTCACTCATATGAAACGTCAGCAAATACCAGTGAAGGGCTTCAAATTCAAATTTAGACCTACTGTACACTCTGCAATCAGGGGCATTGAACAGCGAGAGTTCTTTATTGTGCCAATGCCTAAAGTGTCATGGGACCTACGATATTAAGGTCATATCCGAAAAGTCCCGGACCTTAACATCTAATGCCGTGTCAAAGGAAAAAAGTCTCTTCCTATGTTGAACATCTTGAGTTTGACGTGGCGCCGGGAACGAGAATAGCCCATCCGATCAGGAAACTAGTGCCTTTCTATTGGACTACCTGGACCGAGAGCAAAGAGGAAGATATTATAAGATACAAATCATTTTCAACATATGACAAACTTAGCTCCACCCTGTAGTCTGAACCCTGGCTCTATAAATTTCACAATTTAGGTTAAAGGACTCATTGATTATTATAATTATGCCAACAGTTAATGACTTAGTGTCCCGGAGTAGTGAATACGATTTTTTAAAGATTGCATTAAGTTGGACGGTTTTGGCCCCACCCCTGAGGCTCCCGGAGGGGGGGGGGGGCAGAGACCATAAAATTCTTATTTTTTCCATCCTTTGTCTATAGATGCTTAATAAAAAAGTTGGTTCAGTCGTTCCAATGTTAACGGACACCGCAACGATGGAAAAAAACAGATAGCAGTAGGCCAGTTGACTGACCTGAGTGACTCAGGTGTAAACACACAATCTGAGATTTCTTCGTAATCAACACACTAAGTCTCCTATCGGTACTGGCCTTTTTTCTCATTGAAGCGGAATAAAATGCAAAATTAATCTGTAACTCATCAAGTTAGACTCAAATACCAAAATCAGCTCAATGTATGTAAGCGTCTAGAGGAAAAGTCTAGAAAAACACGTTGAACAAATAGACATAAGGCCTTGCTACAAAGTAATGGGACCACGTATAAATGACTTGACAATGATAATTTCACAAATCATAAGCGACTCACCACTAGCCTGAAGAGAGAGTTGTCCTCAAATGGCGGTGATGGTTGATTCAACAATTTTTCCAAGAACATAAAAATAAACTTAAACGCCCTTTTATGATGTGGAAAAAAATCTACACTTCTTTCCTCAAAATCCGGACAAATTTATGTCGACATACTTCCCGGTACTTTATAATATAAAATCTCTCATCTCCTGACTACGGAAATAAAAAGAGAGAGAAAAAAATATAGATTCATTTACGTAAATCCTACAACAAAATAACAAATAAAAATACCTAGTTTAAATTATCACAGTGTCGCTTGAAAGATCTTTTAAAGTATTTTGAAAAATAACAAATATGTATTTAAAAAGTCACGTAGATCCACTTAAATAAAAAGACTACATACATACCCACCCCATTCAAGGAATAACAGTTATTCTTGCTTTCACTGGAATTCTTATTTATACATTATTACGTAATTCAACTGCTTGATATTGTGCAACACTTAAAAAGTAAGGAGGATGTTCAATTTTCATTGATTTGCACTGTGACTCACCACAGCGTCTATGCGTTATGTTTTGCGTTGTATCTTATGTGCCTAATTGAGTTGTAAATAATTAACATCTGAAAATGCACTAAGCATCTCCTATACGTCTTCATTCATAGTTGTCTAAATTTTAGAATTATAATAATTCAAATTAAATTTTAGTAATGTATAAATAATATTAACATTAACATACAGTTCTTATAGAAATTTATTTAATTTTTAATCACAAGGTTTTTTTTATCGGATAATCAATAATTTGTATCCTCGAACTTGATTTTTTAATTAGAAAGAAACAAAGTCAATTTATAATTTGTATGAATGAATTTCATCACGTAGGCCCTCCAATACGTGATGCCCACGTGACAATCATGAAAGCAGGGATTTTAAAAATGTTAGATCAGCGCATGATATATTACTAATTAAACTCATGAAACGAAGTGCACAGTGCAGGACACTCTCAAACGATTGGAAATACCTCCCACCGATTTAATGTATAATGTAAATTGTTATTCCTTTATTGAAAATATATTTTAAAAAAACAACATATTAAAGAATGAGGTACAGTGTACGTTTTGGGGAAATAGGAGAATTGCAAGTTAATATTTTCTTTTAACTATTCTTAACAAAATAATTTTTCTTGCATTATTAAAAAAATCGTTATAATTAATTTATTATGCAGACGTTCTTTCTAAAAGAATTTAAAATCCAAAGTAATAATCGAAAACCAAGAACTCAGAGAAAAGATAATAAAACAAAACAAAATCAATCATCATACAAGCGAACAAACATATATACAACAGGAATACAAAAAAAAAACCCAATGTTAATGAAAGCCTTGCGCAACGAACGACAACCCTTCCTCACAAAGAGAACCTCAAATGCAGTGACATCGATTTTGTATATTGTGTATATATTTTAATTAAGGATCTTAATTCTATACCAATGAAAATGTTTTTTGGGTTCTGAGAAAAATTATATCATATAAAGACATAAATATGGAGTAATTTTCAACTTAGGGTATTTGCCATTTACCCCCAGGAAAAAAAAGTCAAAGACAATGAAGTGTTGGTGAACTGAAATCACCTTTGCCTACTTAAATGGGAAAAATGCATGCCAATAAATTGTTCAATTAATTCAACTGGGCCAAATGAAATGTTTAGAATGCTTGAATTGATTACAAATTGAATAATAAACTTTAGATTTCAATTTAATTCATTTTAGATTTAAGGGCAGATAACTCTCACTGGATAAAAATACCATGGAATTAGAACTCTTTATTGTAAAAGAGCTGAGACAGAACAGAGTTTATTACAAAGTAGTAGAGACTATAAAAAACTTTAAATAAACAGTTTAGAGAACATCAGAAAAATTTTATTAACAAACTGAGAAATTTACGAAGTACTGATGCGAAAGCATATTGGTCATTATTGAATAAATGTGACAGAAAGGGTAGTAAAAATGTTGATCTAATGTGGAATGCTCAGTATGTTGATAAATCATGCAAAATTGGTGTGTTGGTTAAGAATACATTAAGAAATAGTTTTATCCAAGACTGGAATGTAAATGTATTAAATTCTCCAAAATGCCTTAATTATAGAATGTACAAGTGTGATTTGGTTTTGAAAATTATCTAAACATGTTACCAAATGATCTTAGATTATATGTATGTAAATTTCGTTGTGTCAGTCATAACTTGCCAATTGAAGCTGGTAGATTTTATAGTATTGATAGATCTGATAGACATTGTAACCTCTGCAATAACAATTAACTTGGTGATGAGTTTCATTATTTATTTAAGTGTCCTTTTTTTAAGAATGAAAGACAGAAATTTATACCTAGCAATATTTACACAAATCCAAACACAATATCTTTTTTATAATTTGATGAATACTTCTGATATATATGAACTAATAGGTTTAGCTAAGTTTTGTAAAACTGTTCTTAAATTATTTCATGCCTGAACTTCCTACAATGTAAACATTAAACGATTTTTTTTTATACAACCGTCGATACTGTCCATATCAAAGATCTTTTTGTGGTTCATTATGTTAACTGTTCACATGTTGATTTGTTCAATTGTTAAACTCTTATTGTACTAACATACCCCATGTAGGCGCTTTAGTGAAAATAAAAGTTTCAAAGTTTCATGTACAGTGTATATAGGGTTCTTAAGAGCCACAGGTGATTTGGGAGAGGACCCACCCCCTATGTGTTTGCTGGTTGTTTTCCAAAAGAGTGTCTGTGCTTAGAGATGATAGTAGTAACAACATATACATGTAACTTGTAAATATCAAACATGTCTCAAACCCTTCATAAGTTTAAGTATGGTGTGAGATTGCATATATGGACTGAAAGTAATTGTTTATAGTACCGGTCACGCTGTCCTAGTGGTAGGGAGCTCGCGTCGTGATAATGAGGTATAAGGTTCGATTCTCGTTCCCGGAGCCTCGACAACCCTAAGACGTTAAACATTGTCTTTCTAATGAGACCTTAGAAACCAAGGTCATGTAGGCGTTGGTATGACAAAGGACCTTCACTACTCAATGGACCTGAGTGCCCAGTAAAAGCCTAAACTGGAGGCCTTCACCGGTATAATGGTGATGTCAATATGAGCAAATATTTCTTGCAAAGGACGTAAACTAACACAGACTCATTTAATCGGTCCATTGTTTATAGTATATGAAATGAAACAATGACGATGTTCTAATTGCTTTAGTAGGCAAAACTTTACCCACCAAAAGACCAAATTATATCACTAGTCCATGTAATCAGCGTACATGTACCTCTAATGATCATCACACATATTCACGCACACACCCTCACCTTCACACACACACACCCACCCACACACACATTTATTTATATAACTACAGCTCCAACCCATAGTTGAAATCTCGAAATGTGGAATCTGTCTCCTGGCAGTGCAGGAACATCTCGCTAGACCGCTCGACCACCAAGGCAAGTTAAAAGAAACTTGCTTATCGATAGCGAAGGAATTTCTCGCGGTGTCGCCCTTCAAGAATGGAAGTCAGATACAGCTATTCGAAAATAAGTTTTATTAGAGGATAGTTAACGATGCACATTGTCTTTATATCATTTTTATTACACAATGAACCTTAACCCAGAGCTTTAACAATAGCTACCGTAAGTGAAGAAATATTACTATAACTGTTAGTTAGGGAATTTATTGTAAATGTACTTTAAAATAAGTACAATTTGTATCGGTAACTATCCTCTGATAAATCTAATGTTCAAATAGGCGTATTTCACTTCCATTAAATTCTCAATGACCGTGTATTGTTGGGCGACGCTGCAAGAATTCCATTGTCATCGAAAGCAAGATTTGTAACTTACCTAGTTTGGGCTAGCGGTCTAGCATGCTGTTCCTGTACTGCTAGGAGAGATATTCATTAGGTCGAAATTTCAACCCCGGGTTGAGGCGGTAGAGAATATCCTTGTATTTTGAAATTCTCTGCGCTTTTTATATATGTATGAAATCTGATGACAAAATAAATAGTCCAACATTCCATCATTATAGCACCTTCTTGTGAAGTTCGTAGAGTTTTGACGTAGTGGAGATACACGTGTACCATTAATGTTATTTTATATCTGAAACTGTTGGTTAAAATATCTCCTTAAAATACACTCTGACATGGGGATTTATACTGGTTTATTTGAAAAACTGTAACTTATATATGGTAACAAAGTTTAACAAAGAAGCCGTCACGTGCTCAAAAGTAGAATCTGAATTAAAACAATTCAACAATTCGGTTGATTAGATATCCTCTCCTCCATCGAAACTATGAAGTTTGTCAATTATAATGGCAATTCCTTGTCCAAAATACTAATTAATCGTGTTTATCGTCGGAGAATAATGATTATGTAGAGGACATCCATACACAGAAGTTCATTTATACTTATCTACTTATTACAATGTATCTACATGTACCTATATCAATATCTATAGCTTACCTTTGGTAGTTGTCTAATATTTGAGAACTTTCTATAGTTATGAAAATGTAAACATAGAAATGTATTTTTTTTTAAATCCAAAACCTCAAAGATAGAGACTTGTTATGAAAGGAAATGACAAATGTTATTTTTTCCTAAATTATGAATCCCAGTAACGCTTTTCTTTCAAACGCAAGAGATTGCCACAAAATTATAACAGAGCTTTTGATCTCCATGTAACCAACAGAATTTGAATTCGTGATACTAATACCGCGGTAATATGTGCAGACGAGGGTCAATATTAGATGTATATATTTCTGGACACAAGACAAGACATGATAAGACTTTCACAAGCCCCAGTTATATCTATTGAATCAAGTAAATATTACGGTCACCACACGACGACAACAACTATGAAAGGTAGATACTCTTTCATTTCTTTCCGATTACGTGAAAAGTAAGTAACAATACAATGCGTAAACAACACGGGTCAGTGTGAACTTTCCGACCTATTAAATCTAATGTTACATATATTCCTTATGCTTCATTACGTTATCTTAATATAATTTGCATTTTGTCGATAAAGACATCAAAATACTTCTATAGATCTAGAGTTACCTAGCTGTTAATTTCCTTTCCATGATGCGAATTATGTTCATGCAATATTTCTCCTATGCGTTGAATTTTTTTTTTAAAAATATTTACCTGTAAAAATGTGCTATTATGATAATTCTGCATGTAACTCAAATCCTTTATAATTAATAAAATCAAAACTTACCATTGAAAGATTTCTATACTACGGAATGTTAAGTATTATATAAGAAATCAATTTTTGTACAGGACTACAGTAATGTAATTATGCTTCGAACAGATCTTCTATCACATAGTTGTTGGGTTTTTTTTTTCAATGCAAATATGAACAACAAAAGTTTGTAATCATTTATATTTTCTGTCATTGAAATAGTAAATTACAAGTTTAAAACAAAAAATTCCGATACGAATATTGCAGCTCATATTACTTTTTAGCTAGAGGGCGTTTGCAGGGTGCGATGTAATGAATTGTTGACATTCGACTCTCAATCTTCCTATAGTTTTCAGATTAAATCGTAAAATTGCAACCAAATTTCAACCACATGATAATTAATGCTCAATCATTAACTATTGTATCTTACCTGTTAATTTTAGTCTCAAGAAAACAATCAATCTCAAGTATCACTAGGAGTTTCCCCACAAAGATATAACTAGCGTTAATTTATTCAAATAAATGTACCTTACTTATTCTAATGCATGCAGTTGCTTCAGAATCATAGGCCTAATTAGGGGGTAGTTTCATATTAAAGCACGATTGTATTTTCTTATCGAATTATTAATACAGAAGAAATCTTACCTTAACTTGTTTAATCTCTGGACTGCATGGCTACACTGAAATCGGGGACAAAGATGACTCTTGTCTTAGAGGCTGCAATTGATAATTCATTTAGTTTGTAACAGTTGATATACTTCTGATTCTGTCAACAGTTTCTTTACTTTTTTCATAGTACAGCTGTACTTATATTTTAGATTTTCAATAAACTATTAATCCTAAGAGCTATTTGCAAGACTTGCAGTTATGCATCATAATTCGATTAAAAAAAACATATTCCAGAGCAATATGTTAGCATCGTAATCTCATTTACAATTACAGAACATATAATTCTACTCATTCTCCTACTTCAGTTGGACAAAGGTATGAAGTCTTTCAACACTTTTGACATTTTTTGAAGCTTAGAGAATCTCGGTTACAGTAGCTAAACAATTAATAGTAATTTGTCCTGCAACGTAAGACAGAAATCGGTCAAGCAAAATACCAAAGTAGCTATTAACTTGTGAGTAAGAATTGGATGACTGGAGTTAGAGTTTGAATTTAGGGATTTCCTTGATGTGTCTGCAGTGTAACAATGCTGTACAACCTCGGCACTGTCACACAGTAACCTACTGCGCGGAAGATGAGGTTAGTAAAGAACACGTAAGGTTAAGGGCCCACTATCACCCGGTTTTTTTGGGGGGGGGGAACTTCAGAATACTTATCTTTATATATGTTTTGTTAGAGTATTGACCTTTTGAAACAACATATGCAAAATTAACGGGAATCCGCGAATTTGTTCTATATCCGATTTTTTTTTCAGCTTTTGTATCTGACAAGATTCAGTATTTAAGTACGGGTATCAGATATTTTAAAAAAAAAAATCATGATAGACAATATTAAACTGTATTATAGAAAGTGATAAACTGTAAAATGTAAAAACTCTTAATGTAATGAAATATTATAAAATTTAGAAACTTAAAATTTTGTTCCAATCCCTTAATTTCCTCCGACCTTTATCCAATTTGTTAAAAGCAATCAACCTTAATCTTTATACACATTTTCTCGACGTGTTATCATGATAGCATACACAAAATGGGATTAAATTCAGAAGTGAACACAAGTTAATAGTAATCTAGTAATTATTGGCTTACTCAAAGTTTTGTATTAGCAAGACGTCGTCCTTTATCATTTTAGAAAAAAAGTCTTCAATGATTACTTTGTATATGTGAACACACGAATTATGCCGCTTTTCAGCGTTCGCTTCTTAATAGGTGTGTTTTGTTGAAAAAGTGGAGTCTATGTTTGGAGTCCGGTACAACATGGGTTGTCTCCAAGACAGAGCAAGTATACTTCCGTATATTTTTTTATGTTTGGTATTTTCAAATGCTTTTCATTACGTGAAGAAGTTTTATTTTTCTTATTAGCCTATGATGAAAAAAAATCTATTTGCAAGAATGTTGCGTCAGTTCTTTTAATTTTAATTTTATAAATTATTTTCAACATGAATTAGTCAACTGTAAAAATTTTTAATTTTTTTTTTTTTAATATATATAACATTTGTTTGATTTGATTCAATTCATCAAATGTACACTCAGGTTTGCAGAGAGCAAAACCAAACAAATATTATAAAAAACAGTGGAGAGGGAAACCCCCTTCCATATACTTGTACTGAGTGTTGTCAAGCCGATCTCTGTAATGCAGAGGGATGTGGAGAACCAGGTATGTACACTAAACATCCTATGATCCCCACTCATAAACAACCATCACCATTACCCCTCCTAAAGGTGGACTCCAAAGTATCCATGTATACGTAACATCCTTTAATCTCAACACGTAAACAACCATCATTATTATCCCTCCTAAAGGTGGGCATGAAAGTATCTAGGTATGTTCACTAAGCATCGTATAATTCCCACCAAAAGACATCCTAAAACACTCACCATCATTATCCCTCCTAAAGTATCCAGTTATGTACACTAAACATCCTACAATCCTACTCACCACAATTATTCCTCCTGAAGGAAGACACCAGAGTATTCAAGTACGTACACTATATAAACATCTTAAAACGCTCACCATCATTATCCTTCCAAAGTATCCAGGTATGTACACTAAACATCCTATAATCTCCAACCATAAACACTCACCATTCATTATCCCTCCTAAAGGAGGATATCAAAGTATCCAGGTATGTAAACTAAACATCCTATAATCTCCAACCATAAACACTCACCATTCATTATCCCTCGTAAAGGAGGATATCAAAGTATCCAGGTATGTACACTAAACATCCTATAATCTCCAACCATAAACACTCACCATTCATTATCCCTCCTAAAGGAGGATATCAAAGTATCCAGGTATGTACACTAAACATTCTATAATCTCCAACCATAAACACTCACCATTCATTATCCCTCCTAAAGGAGGATATCAAAGTATCCAGGTATGTACACTAAACATCCTATAATCTCCAACCATAAACACTCACCATTCATTATCCCTCCTAAAGGAGGATATCAAAGTATCCAGGTATGTAAACTAAACATCCTATAATCTCCAACCATAAACACTCACCATTCATTATCCCTCCTAAAGGAGGATATCAAAGTATCCAGGTATGTAAACTAAACATCCTATAATCTCCAACCATAAACACTCACCATTCATTATCCCTCCTAAAGGAGGATATCAAAGTATCCAGGTATGTAAACTAAACATTCTATAATCCCATCCATAAACACTCACCATTCATTATCCCTCCTAAAGGAGGATATCAAAGTATCCAGGTATGTAAACTAAACATCCTATAATCTCCAACCATAAACACTCACCATTCATTATCCCTCCTAAAGGAGGATATCAAAGTATCCAGGTATGTACACTAAACATCCTATAATCTCCAACCATAAACACTCACCATTCATTATCCCTCCTAAAGGAGGATATCAAAGTATCCAGGTATGTACACTAAACATTCTATAATCCCATCCATAAACACTCACCATCATTTCCCTCCTTAAGGTAAACACCAAAGTATTTTTTATGCAAATATCCAACATATACATACACACCCATTTTATTACTTCTTTTACAATAAAGGCACTGGCTTGTTTCTCATGATTAATGAATTAGGGATTTTACTCTTAACATGATCAAATTCTTATACAACTGTAATATGGCTAAGATGGGCATCATCGTTAACTGGGTCAACTGTAGCAAATTTATATATCTTGTATAATTTATGTTTCTTCAGAAGATTTTCAACAGAAATATATTAAAAGTTAATTTTTTGGCTCTCAGAAAAATTACCTGACAAACCCTTTCTCCTAAAATACTCTGTAATCAACTCGATAAATGAATCGTTTAAAAAGGGTATCCGGTTGCAAGAGGACCGATTTGTTTCGCCTGTAGCCAACATGATGACTCGAGGGAGTGCCGACAGATTGCTCATTGTAGGGACTCTGAGGTACCTGTAAAATTTATATTTTTAATTATGAGCTTGTGCCTCAATGCTCGATGCTAAAAGTTCTAATCTTTTTAGGTCTACAAAATATCTTTGTTAAGCAAATCTGAAAAAGTACGAAGAAGCAATTTCACTTTGTATCAGTAAATAATGGAATTATTTGACGTATTATTCTACTATTAACAAATTGATAACTAATATATCTACAGTTGTGTTACATTAAAAAAGAGGAAGAATTTGGTGACCAAATATACTCAACAGGATGTATGCCTTTTCAGGTATTTATTTAAAATTCTTTGCAAAATCCTTTGTAAAATATATTGATGGAGTATGATATTGTTGGTGTAAAAATCCGCCATTTTATTAATATTATTATTTTTTTTTTTTTTTTTTTTTTTTGCAGCAATGTCTAAGCGTAGTTCAGAATACCCTAGCAATTGGACATTTGTCTAATTCTCATCACTTTTCAAGACCTTCGACGACAGGAAAACCAACAGGAACTATTATAGACACAACAGTCGCCTCATTTGTAACTGATCAACCAACTGGGATCACAGATAACAATATTCACATGATTAATGGATCAACTATCACTTTTCCTCCAAACTCCACCGTCGTTCCAACTGGAATTACAGAAAGCAGTATACATATGATTGACGAATCAACATCCAACTCACCACACTCAACCCAAGTACCAACTGGAATTACAGACAGCAATATACACATGATTGAAGAATCAACATCCAACTTACCACACTCAACCCAAGTACCAACAGGAATTACAGATAGCAATATACATATGATTGAAGAATCAACATCCAACTCACCACACTCAACCCAAGTACCAACAGGAATTACAGACAGCAATATACATATGATTGACGAATCATCAACGAGTTTACCGTTTAAAACCAAAGTACCAACTGGAATAACAGACAACAATATACATATGGTTGATGGATTATCTACAGGCTTTACAACAACCCCCAAAATTGTCCCAACCGGGATTACCGAAAAATATATTCACATGGTTGATGGATCTTCAAAATCCTCTCCCACACAATCAACCCCTGTTTCTCCAGATATTACAGAGATATCAATTTTGTCTGATCAAACTAACTTTCTCGCAAAGGAATACATTGGTAATGACATAAAATCTTTTCTAAGAAATGTTAAAACTCAAAGAAAAGTAAAAAAAATTTACAAAATGTATTTTTATTACAGTTTTTGGTTTGCATCACGATTTTTTAGATTCTATATAATTATAGGTATATGGAGTTCCAAAAATACTAAATTCCAGTCTCCATCTGTAATGAAACTTACACATTCCAAAAATAGGGCAACAACTTTGAATGGGAGACAGAAGCGGTTTATCTCCTGTCATCAGTGTTGCAGGGGAGATCTTTGCAATGAAGTGTGCAGTCCTAGTAGTACTGTACCCCTTTAATTCTTCAGAAATTTATATTCTTACTATGAAATTGTTTTTAGATGATTTATCATGAATTTAAAAAAAAAAAAAGGATTCTCTATTCCTTTTACTTGTATATTGGACTTTAAATATTTAACTTTTAATTATTTTTTAGACTTAAAAGTGTACATGTTTACTATTTACTTAACTACTTTACTTGACAACATCGATAATGTGTTCACATTAATGCTTTGTCATCCAGGTATCGAAAACATGCATTTCTACAAACATGTATACCATGTATTCAAACACTTGATAAAACACAAATACGAAATTCTCTCTGTTCCTTATAGAATGCGAATTTCGAAATATACAATATTCTAAAAATTTTAATATGTATAATACTTCCTGTATTTCAAAAAGTCGACTTCTGGTCACCTTTCTTATAAGTTTTCCTTTACCACATTATGAACAGGTCCTTTAACACCTACACCAGACTACTTTACGATTTCTCCACCATCCACTCCCACATCAAGTACTGATCGCCAATCAACAACAGCTGCAATACTTACATCTACTCCTACCACATCCACTCCTACCACATCTACGCCTACTAGTACCACATCTACTCCTACTACATCCACTTCAACCACATCTTCGCCTACTAGTACCACATCTACTCCTACCACATCTACGCCTACTAGTACCACATCTTCTCCTACTACATCCACTTCTACCACATCTTCTCCTACTCGTACCACATCCACTCCTACCATATATACGCCTATTCGTACCACGTTCACTCTTGCCACGTCTTCTCCTACTCGTACCACATCCACTCCAAATACAACTACTTCCAGCACTACAACAACAAATTCAACAACATTTCCAGTTATATATACAGGTGCAGTATATAAATTAAACACCCTTACATTTTATGTCAAAAAACCCTTAAACTCAGGATGTCTCTCTCTGCAGTCTTTCTTACTTTTGCTCACCCAAAATAGAACAAGAGACAATGAGACATTTATTTAAGCATGCTCCAAATGTGACTATTTTCTTTGTTCTTATTAACATTTCGAGCAAAAGTAGACTAAGTTTAACTTCAAATCACTGTCTTTCGCAGCTTTTCATATCTTCTGTACCTATTTATTTAACTTAGGCTTGTCTGGTACAGAGTTTCTACTTGCCTTGTCAAAGCATAAAAATCTACAGGATGCAGATAATGTTTCCTTAGTGATTACCTCCCCTGACAATGGAAGAATAAGTGTTTATTTGGAAAATACCAAATCCTTCATCAATATCACCCTAACGAAGGGTAGAAATGCTATCTCGTTAGATCCATCCATTGCTACTTCGGTGCCTTGGAATGAACAGAAAGGAATTTACGTCAAATCTAACGTTAATATATCCGTCCACATAATGGAATATAAAAACGGCAGTGACACTGCCTTTTCAGTGATACCTGTTTCTGACTTATCTAACCGTTACGTAGCAGCAACAGCCAAAGGAACGAACGACAACCCGTCTTTTATTACTGTTGTAGCGCTACATAATAACACAAAAGTAAGGTTTAATCTCAGGTTAGAGGACAAAAACAGATATGTTTATATTAGTCCATGGAGAAACTACCGATATGAAAATGGGGAAAGCTTCAACATTACTTTAAATCAGTACGAGACGTTTCAACTGGAGGTCAATGGAACTGATTTGACTGGTACAGTAATTGATAGTTCTAAACCAGTGGCAGTTTTTTCTGGAGCTGAGTCAACAGTCATTCCATCAACAGTATGTACTCAAGACTGTGAGACTCAAAAAGTTATACAAATGCTACCACCTACAGACGCTTTAGGTACTGATTTCATAATCCCAAAACTGCAAAACAGACACACTTTTACCTATAAGATTGTTTCTTCAGAAGATGGAACGCAAGTAACCGTAAACGGTAAAATTGTTTATCTCCCGACAGTAGGATCTTTCAAAGAATTTGAAACAAAGGCTAATACATCAATTGCTGTTTCCAGCAATAAGCCAATTCTCGTAGTCCAAATGACTGAAACTATGAAATCGGAAAAGGAGAACGCCAGTGGAGCAATGTTAGTTACTCCAGCCATCCAGCAACTCCAAAGTGATTATCACTTTAGTATTCCCGATGGTGGCGAATACAGCCATTTCCTCTCCATTGTAATAAGGAAAGGCCAAGAAGGGGCACTTGTCCTCGACGGCAAACCGTATAGTCAAATAAACGCTACCATGGAAACAGTTGACTTAAATGGACAACCATACGCTGTAATAAATATACCTTTAAATCAACATGATTCCCATGATATAGAAAACTTGCAAGGCAGTCCATTTGGATTGATGGCTTATGGATTTAAGCATAATCAAGGATATGGATATCCAGTAGCGCTAAAATTGACACATTAGTGATCAGCATTTTTTCAACAATAACAATGTGTAAGAACTATACAATGAATTTAAAGTATGGATCTTAAATTGAACAGTTAAAATATAGACACTACCGAAATCGAAGTCTTCAATCGGTGCGACAAGTTTTGAAATTTTGGATGTTATTTACTGTAAAATGTTTCTTTTAATTTTCTAAATTTTAGCTTACACTTTCCTGAAATGAGATAGCATTAAAAATCATCATTTTTTAATGTGTAAAAGGTGAAGATAACGAACAGTTATCAGTCTCATAAATCCAGTAACCAAAACGATTCGTTAACAGGGCAAAAACATGGACCCCCATTTTTGAGTCAGATTATTTCTTTTCGTGCCAGTGAAGGACAGATTATTTATTTCCAAGATCGTCAGGGACAGATTATTTATTTTTTTCTTCACTGAAAAAAGTTTAACGAGCAAATAAAAAAGAAGACCTTATGCATTGGTAAGTTGTAAGCCATCCGTTTGTATGTCTGTGAACAAAATTTTAAAATGCTAATCCTACATTTTGTTTTGTTTTCGATAAAACTTGGTCCAGTGACTAAAGATGTTGCCATGGTTATTAAAATTTGAAATGTTTGTGAAATCTTTTCAAATTTCGTCTTCTCTTAAAGTTTTGGGTTTTTTTTTTCCAAAACGAAGTTTGGTTCACAAGTAATCTACATTATGATACCTAATTCGGTGACTCGGATTTATATGAGCAGTGCTGTCATGGTTAAAGAGAAAGGCAATAGTTTTGAACTATTTTCTAATTCCCTGTATAATTTATGAGTTTCAATAATTGAAGGACCTTTGTGCGATTTTATGATGCCTCGTAATGTTGTACACCTCTGATGAATCGAGTTTTGAGGATATACCACCTTAAACCATATTTTTGTTAATTTTTCTATTTGATTTTGTATAAGTAGAAAAGGTATATTTTTAAAGTACAGGTACTTTATATGTACGTTGTGTATAACCGTAAATAAAATTAGAATTATGTTTGGAATGAAATAGCTTACTTCTCATATAGTTTGGGTTCGAACTTAATCAAACTTGGTACACAAATATAAGACTGACAATGGTATATATCGGTTAAATATTTTGATGAATGAGTTATATAATTTTGTATATGCTTTTAAATGTGTGTAAGCAACATTTACCTGTTTTTCTTGAAAATCGTGTCTTAATGAATCAGAGAAAGTTGGCTACAGAAATATATTTTCTCTAATTTTTATTAATTACTAATGCAATGCCCTTTAATATCCATAAATTTTGCTAAGTGCAAAATCATCTGCAAAAACTGGCAATTCGCAGATACTTTTTTGCTGAATCTCGTACGTCATAAAATAAAAGGAACAACGTCATTTGAGTTAAAATGTCATTTAATGAAATAAATGACGTAAAAAGACGGCATATAGAACAGAATACAAATAATTAATTGACTGGGATATAAAGACAATCAAACAATGGCTAAATCTTACTAGATTCAATGAGAGACATAATGACTAGTCATATACTAGATATCCCAGTCAATACAACTTGAAGGAAACTTACTACATAAACTAAAAATAAATCTTACAAATCATAATTGTAAAATATTACAGCCAAAAGGTGGTCACAAAAGAGTCACAAGCAAACATACATGCTGCTTAAAGAATGTCCTTTGTTACATGGTTCAGTATTAAATAATAAAACACAATTAAGTCCCTCTTGCAGGTAAGTACAATATATTGATATTATATTCTTTGTCTGTTGGAAAAGTTCTATATCGAGTAAGGTTCAATTTTACATAAAACTAGCCTTGTGTCAAAACTATGAACTTTCAGCAAAATGGTTCACATACGAACACATTTCTTTCTCCTGGAACATCTTAATTATGGATTTTTATTTATTTTATTTATTTTTTTTTTTTTAATTTTAATTTTTTATTTTATTTATTTATTTGATTGAATTATTGCTATTTGTTTCCATGTTGTTCTTCGTTGAAAAATTTTCAAATATGACTAAATATGAAATCCTTAGGCAGGGCGAATTAATCAGGTTATAGGGACGTTGAAAATTCCTTCAAAATATAATTCGGTCACTGATAAAGAATTGGGCCGAAATCAAGCACAACTTAAAGTGAAATAACCCTCTGCTCTGAATTTCACCATTTTTTTTTAAAATTCCAATCATTGATTTTCATCAACAACAATAGCAATATATTGAAATGGAAAATAGTTGAAGTATGAACTGTTGGTTACTTTTTCAGAAATGAATATTATGTTTAATTAGGATATGAAGAAAATTTGAGACAGTAGATATAAATATCAATACTAGTAATTTATTATCGTAACATAAAATTAAAAATTGAAGGTATTTATATATGAAAATAAAACTTAGTGTCATACATATTAAAATCATATTAGAAAACTTAATGAGGTGTGCTTTTTAAATCAGAATATCACATTGTTATCTGTGCTTGAAAAAAATGCATCAAACACAAGAGTTATCTTTCCATTTACAAGAGTTATTTTTCTTCAAAATTCTTTTTAAAAGGAAAAAATGCAAAATTTAATGAAAATTCTACATGTGGTACATGATAAATTACTGTAGCATTTTAAAAAAAAAATATTTATTGAGTGATAGAACTATCTCAGTCTTAACAGTTGAAAATAAAATGAGTGTAAATGTTTTATATCAAATATTATCGGTACCTATAAAAAAATATTGGCAAAAGAAAATAAACGTCAATATTTGCAGCATAAAGTAGGCTTAAATAAATGCCTAATTGACTACCAGTATATAATGGTCCTCATTATTAACTGTGGTACAACAATTCACCGAACAGATAGGAATTATTTCGTAGGGCAGTTATCTCTCATATCAGAGAGACATTCCACCTTAATTTACATCAACTATCAAAATCATTATAAACATTCAGGAAGGAGACACTGACCATGGTATAGACACATAGTCAAAAGTCAAAATTCAGTCGCTGTCAACAGGTACTCACCTGGTTTGACCTACTTTTATGGGCGATCGAATAAGTAAATCTTACACCTGCTGTCATTTCTTTTCCCTAGCAATAACGATGTCCCTTTTATTGACCTTCTTTCTGCAGTTTCCATTGTCCGAAAGTGAGGTATAAAATTAAATACTATGTTTTGTGATTTATGAAAGAAATATGCCATAGCTACGAACATACACGCATATTCTGCCAAGAAGAAGAGCGGTAAGTCACTATCTCTTCGTATGCTCTATATACGTGTCAGAGTTAAGGCATTAAGGTTATATATTATCTAAATAGTAAATTACAATACTGTAGATTTCAGATTTGTAAATTACATCATAATTTTACAATGTTCATTTTTTATCTTTTGTAGATATGTTGTTCATTCTTGTGTTCCTCAATATCCTCTCGGTCAAACTTGGTACAACGTCTTCTTGTGAAAAAAAATCTTGCTTTATAACAGAATTGTAAAATTTTGGAATTTCATTAACATATTCTATTTTTTGACTGAGAAATACACAAACTTTCATTATGACTGTGCATTTTATTTCTATGTATATATGTTTTCGTACCAGTAATTCTATATTTCTTCAACAGTTCTGTCACTTATGTGTCTATCCTGTAGAGAGTCTATCCAACCCCGCCATTGTCATAGTATAGCTTACTGTGCCGAGGATGAGGTACGTATGGATACTTTGACTGTGTACTGTTTCTTTGTTAATGTTTCCACCTCTGGCTTTAGTTCATGACCAACGCGGAGATGTATCTGTTTCTGTTTTACTCACGTAAGAAGCTGAGTGCCTTTTCCCCCTTTTCCTTTCATTTGAAAAGCTTTTTATAAAAAAAATTTGCAAAGCTTACAAACAATTCACACAGATTCTCATAGAGCTATTATATTGTTTTACCTTCTCTTAAATCACAGAAGCCAAATGCTCTAGTGAGCTTTTCTGATCGAAGTTTCTACGACATATGGTGTCTGTTAACTTTTTTATATTTTGAACCACTGAGCAAATTTCAATCGCTCTCCACAAAATAGGTTTTGGTGAAGAGGATTAAATTCATTCGAATAAAGGACCATGTTCCCCTCCATAAGAGGAAGTAATAGATAGGTTAGAATCCGTATAACAATATCTGAAGAACCACCAAACTAGAAACAAAGACAAATTCAGAGCTCTCTAACTCATAATGCAGACTCGGAACAGTTCGATTTATGGCCATTGAGGGTGGGATTGAGCCAAAACAAGGAATAAAAATTTCACAAAAGAAATCTTTGAAAAACTTCAATCGTTTGAGGAAGCATGACAAATCCATAATTATGCTAAATGTATAAGTAATTTTATGTGTGTATAGATTAAATTTTATTCATATCATAGCCTCTAAAGCCAGGTTAATTAGGCTACCAAAGGTTATCAAGGTCTTTTTTCTTGGTAGATTAATATTGAAAAATCCTCTCATGAACGACAAAGGTGTAGGACTGTATGTTGGAATTAATCTTAAAAGATTTTTTTATATTGTACCACAGACCATAATTATTAAGATCAATGTGTAACTATCCTTAAGTAAAATATATTTATTATTGTTCATGTGATGGTCTCTGAGGCTTAGAAGGTTCAATTATTGGGAAGGGCAATAAAACTTCATAACACGAAAACAAAACAAGTATACATTGCAAACTAAGTTACAAACCTCACTATTCTCGGAGCCAGGATGAAAAATGTAATTCATGTGAGCATTGTGGCCCAAAGTCATTTTTTTAAAGGTTTGCTTCGTAGAAAGAGTTGAATCACTTTATGGTGTAAGGTTTAACACGGGCTGCCTTCAAAGACAAGTGAGTTAAACTTCATCTCACTTTTTGTTTAAATATGGTTATCATTCATGTATGTTTATGTATATTTATGTATAATCCTCTTAGGTTTGCAGAGAACAGAATCAAACTCTTCACATACATGGAAATGATGACGGTAATCTTCGCCCGCCCACGTGTACGGAGTGCTGTGATACTGACCTCTGTAATGCTCAGGGGTGCAGTGAACCAGGTAACACAATGTATTTTAAAAGTATTTTAAATGCCGCTTGGATGCACTTCTAATTAATTTTTGTACAGCCAAATGTGCTTTAAGTGAGTTAAATGTTAAAAGATTTTTGCATCATTTGCACCGATTTTCTCTAGAGTACTCTTTTTGACTCTTGTGAATTTCACCTTATGCTCCTTGAATTACTGCATGTTTTTATCTCTTTTTTGTGTTGCTGCGAAGCTCAATATTATTATATCACCTACATATTGAGTTTATGTCTCCCAGTTGATTCGATTAGCAAGAGCATTTTTAAGAACAATTTCTAAAACGAGGCAGGCTATTGACAAATAAGTTGATTATACAAGAATATCAACAATCTCGTTTAGACCCATTTTTTTCAAATTCTTTGGTCGATATAATGACCTTCTTTGCAAATACAATTTATCGTTAAGTTCAATGGTGAATGACGTCTTTCATACAAATTGTTAGGTCATTATTTTCACACTTTAACCGATGGGGGATGCTGACTTCGAATTCTCCGTAGTACCTGATCCCACTTCTGTTGTCATAGGTTCGTGTTAGCTCTGCTCACAATTTGTATTTGTTAATTGGAATTTGGAGCAGGATCACTGTTCGTTATCTTTACATTCATCTTACGATTTCTTTGTGAGAAAATGGGTTTGTATTATGTAATCCTCTGGGTAATTTTTCCGTGAAGGATGCTCTGAAATCTCTTTGTGTGAAGGTGGTTTTGTATTATATGTTTCGGCTCTTTCTTTATCTTTTTCTTTATGCATTGTATGTTATGGTTTTTCTAGGAGAGGAGTTGGGGTGGTACGCAAACATAAAAATTTAATGACATTGTTTCAGTGAATATGCTAATATGAACATTTGATCTGCACGCATATTTACTATGACGCCCTACCAAGAGTGACTCCAATGTCATGGAACAGTCTGCAGAACATATGTTGTTCATAAAATCATGTGCAGTTATAAACGTTGTCTATTTCTTATTTTGAAAACTTCATTATGTCATGGTAGTTTCTATAATGTACTGTTGGCTCATCATAATCTCTAAGAATTCTTTTAAGACGGGTATGGTTGCATAGGAAGTATAAGCGAGTCATATCTTACAATGTAGGTTTACTTTGTTTAAATATCCGTCAATCACTAAATATTGATTTTCATCATCAGACACAAAATGAAAAGTAAGAAATAGGAGATTTGGCAACTCCTATACTCCAAAACATATGCGCTCTTTTTTTTATGGAACATCAACTTCCTCAGTATAATAGGGTCATACATAATGAATGCCATTTTTAAGGCTACACTTCAATAATTGAGTTATTCATACGGTAATATGTATTTGTTTTTAGGGTACCCTCCACTGAGTAGAAGAGGACCTGTCTGTTTAGCTTGTACTCAGCACTTTGACAGTCAAGAATGTCAACAGATAGCTCACTGTAGAGATTCTGAGGTGAATAGAATTTTTTGCACAACGCTTGTTTGCTTGAACGTTTTTTCACGCAAGGTGCTGATTCAGACCTGTACTCGGCACTTGTTGCCAAAGAGCAGTGAGGATCTTTTCGTGCCAGCACATACTGTTACACAATACCTCAGTTTATACGGCCTCATCCGAAGGACCTGTTTCAATGTTCCGCACTGGGATTCGAACTAGGGATGTCAATTTTATTCGGACAGCTTAGTCGAATAGTCGGAGGCTTTAGTCGAACGATAGTCGAGTACTCGTTGAAATTTCAATTATCATGTCATTTTTACTGTTTGTCTTTTACAGACTGCTTCTACAATATGTATTAACGCTATCGCCATTATACAACGAATTTTTGAATCGTAAACATTTACGTAATGAAAAATAAATGTTTCAATGTATTGATTTCAAATATAATATTTATTGCACATTTTATATAAATGCAGGTTATCAAACACTCGCATTAAATTTTGCCCTTTCTTTTCATAACGCTAGACCCCCTAATTCGAACCCATGACTAGAGGCCCCAAAAGGATAATTCAAGCATCTTGATTTAGGAGAGTCATTACTTGAAAGATCCTAGGCGGAGTCGGTAGAATACGGGGACATAAAGTGAAAACAGAGGTTTAAGCGAGGAAAGAGTCCAAGATTGCCTCTTCCCTCGTGTTGTTTAAGTAGCTGATATATCAAAACGTTTTTTCTCAAATGTATAGTTTTTTACATTCCGGGAGCAAATCCCTGTGCTCTAAGTGAAATAATCTTGCAAGGGACGTAAATATGCTTGTTGTTTATTTTTAATTTAACCTCCTTGACATGATTATAAAATATCACCAAGTTATTAATTTCCGATACTATTATGAAGAAACCGCAGGCGTCATTTTACTTCTTTTAACCATTTAGTATCACACATGTATATTGTGTTTCAATTTCAGCTGTGTTTTATAAAGGAGGAATCTGAATTCGGTGATAAAGTTTATTCTTCTGGGTGCTTGCCATTTCAGGTACATTTTGAATTCCTCATACAATTTAAGTTTAAACATTTTGAAAAATAAACTGTAATTCTAAATTCTAAATTCTAAACTGTCGTCGTTGATTACAATCAGCAATGTATAAGCATTGTGTCCAATACTCACGCCGTGTTGGATTTATCAAATATGCATCATCACACATACTCAACAACAAGAAAAGCGACTACACAATTACCGACGTCAAGGACAACTCAAGCAACAACACAGCTACCGACGTCAAGGACAGCTCAAGCGACAACACAAATAACAACAGGGACAACTAGACCAACATTACCAATACTGACTTTTAGGCCACATACAGCAACACCTATTTTATCGACTACAACTGATGCAGATCCAGTTCCTATAGTTGGTAGGAGAGAAAACAATAGACAGAGAAGGTTTACATCTTGTGAACACTGTTGCCGAGGCGATTTGTGTAATAATGTCTGCGTACACTACAGTAAGGATTTAAGTTCAATTTAGTTGTCTTCTTGGCCCCGGGGCCATAAAACTTAGATGAGCTCACTTTTTATCTTAGTCTCACTTCTCCATAAGGAATCAATAGTGGAAATGTGAGACTGAGATCAAAAGTGAGCTCATCTAAGTTCTAGGACCCCGGAGTCTGATAATACAAATTTAGCAGAGTATAACTACTACCTTTTGAAATGCACAAGTTTAACCTTTAATCTTTTTTCAGGCAAAATAACTCCTACACCACACTATTTCACTGGATCACCAAGCGGTTGAGGAAACCCGGAATTTTCTGTTAAATTTTGTTTTCAAAATAAATATGCTTTATTGCAATGAATTGAAACTTGTGACTCTGTTGTGCCTATACTTTTTGTTGCAAATGACAAAAACTTTTTCAAGAGCATTACCCTTTTTATCTTCACAGAATCTTGTAGAATCTTGGTATATGGTTTTTTGTGAGTAGTTTTAGATTAAGTGCGTATTTGGTTACGGTTCATCAACTTTTTTTAAGAAGTCTAGCTTTAATTGGAAAGTTTAATGGAACAGATTTTTTTAAATAAAAAGCAGAGTCCAAATAACTTTGCATTCTACATATATTCAAACGCTGTTCCCTGATTTAATCTAATTCTGGTTAAAGTGAAGGCGTGTATTGCTTTTTTTCTCCGTCATATCACGTCCGACTATGCTTTTCAATCAAGAGCGATTAATTAGACTATTGACACAGGTCTTCTAGCCACCCCCAACCCCACTCCCTTGAACATCCATTCCACGAGGAATCGTTGGATTTTATTTTATTTTTTTTTTTGTGATATTAAGTTATTTTTCTGAAACTCAATGCCGGATTTAGGTGGGAATTGCACCTCCTACACTGTAAAAAATGATGTTTAACTTGTGTTTAATTTTTAAACAGTCGTGTTTTACAATTAAACATAGTGTGTTTAAACACAAAACATTAGCGTTTAACATATAAACACGACTATTTAAACTGGTGTTCAATAAGCAGGATGTTTAATCATCCATCTTAAACACGTGATGTTCATATGCATCAAATCAAGAAATAAATTAGGTGTTGCTTCTCAGTATTATCTGTGTGCATTTGCCATTTGTACAATTTCTTAATTTATGAAGTAATTTCGCACATAATAGTAGATATTTTTCGACACAGAAAAAAATACGAATAGCCAGGCAATATGTTGACTTTAGATCATACTTAGAGCAATTACAATTAACATTAACTTACAGTAATTTTGTGCCAAGAATTCAATTTGTTTATAAACTGTTAAAGGGGAAAGAGAAACAAATATCATGATGATTTTTATAATTGTATCAATATTTTAATCACCGGTGTTTAACACGAGTGTTCATTTCTTAACCATATATATTTATAAATTAAACGCATGGTATTTATATAGAAGTTGCAAATTAAACACCAGTGTTTAAAACGTTATGATAGAAAATGACGCAGTTGATTATGTCATAAAATGCCATTTGAACGCAGAAGATGTAGAATCACGCATATACTGACAAGAAACACCATATCTAACAAGGAAACAGGAGGTATTTATACATTTCTTTATATAAAATCTGATAAAAAAGAATCATGTTAAATACATTAGAGATCTATAATCATGCTTTTCATCTATGAAATGCAGGATTGTTCCCTATCGTTAATTAGTAATCGTCTGAGTGCAATACGGCCATGCGCAGCTGTATAGACGATAAAATACTGTAGTCTTTTTAATACTTTGTGATATCTAATTAATTTGCAGGGACATTTATCTGTTATTGTGAATCCTGAGAAGCATACATTACCTGATAAAGGAAAGGGATTTTAAACGAAGATCATACTTAACCTTGAGAGGTGAGTTTAAAGAGCATTTCAAAGAAAAGGGGTCAACCCCCCCACACACACACACATACACAAACACCATTGATTCCTGGTAAGTAAATGTAATCGAATTACCCGCCTTTGGTAAACCTTATGCTCCCCATCACGCATTGTTATGATTATTTGCTGACCATACACAACACATAAACGTTAACAACATGCAATGATACTATAATCGCGCATATACCAACAATAATTTTCACCTCCAGCCCGCGCCGTACATGTATTCTTTAAGGAAACTTTACATTTTTGGGGTGTGTCTTGTTTACATGATAGAAAACGCCTTGAGTAGCCCCCCCCCCCCCTTAATTGTTGCCGTTGGGCTGCTCCTGCAGGTACATGAACATTTAAATTTTAAAGTGTGTACACTGTTTGTACGCTTCTATGATTTATTTGTATTGCAGATTTTTATTTCAAACTTGTTTCTCAGTATGTATTCTATAATTAAAATTGGCGTGAAGAATAACAAATTATTTTTTTTTCTCAATGTATTCTTTTACAGATAATTTTCTGAATTTGCATAGTGAATATTTTTTCATCTTTCTATTTTTCAGGATATTTCTGATGAGAATAAGGAACTAAAACTACTTGGGTGAATACAGTTTTGGAGAATGGAAAGCTAGAGATCATCATCCGTTGCAGAAGAATCTGAATTTTTCACACAACCAGAAGAGCTAGACTGTTTAATTTGGTTAGAATATTATATGAAATTTAGTGAGTGATACCCGGCAGCTCCTGTCTAGTTGCAAGAATATTTAATGAATTAGTCCTTTATAGGTCAAAATTGGAAAATTTCTTCATTTGGTTAAAACTCTGAATATCAATGAAAGTAAACTTGTAGCATTTACAACTGGATTTATTAGTGTAATACATATATATCCCGTACCCAGACAACAAATAACATTTTCAGTCTTTTTGAATTATATTTATTTATAAATTTGTTTGTTTTATTTAAAAAACAAAAGGATGTAAAGGACGACTTGGCCCTTTTTAAATAATGTTTCAAAATTTTACTCTTGAAAAATATTTCATTTTACTAAGCGATAATGTATGGGGTTTTTTCCTATTTCAAAGACCCCCCCCCCCTTCCCGCCACCAATTTTATTGGATTTTAGTTGATATGCAGGTTTTACATGTTCATGCTAGTCTGTTTTGATATCATAATTCTGTTTTTCAACTTGAATTGAATTATGTATCTATGTGTTAGCAAATGCATTGATTAATGTTATAATTGTTTATAAAGTTTGAATACCTATTCAACATTAATTCATTTATTAATTAAGCTTTATGTACATGTTCATCATCAAGCACAGTGTGTTTTGTACTATTTTATGTTTGTTTCAAATAAAAATTTGAAAACTAATAAACACGTTTAAGTGTTTATTAATTTGGTAAATTAAACACGTTGAAGTGTTTAAAAATTGACGTATAAACATGTTTAAGTGATTATTATCTGTTGCATGGAATAAACATGTTTAAGTGTTTAGGTTGAATGTGTTTATTAATGAAACATGAAATGTTTAAATTTTAAACACGTACGGTGTTTATTTAGTAAACTCTTTGTGTTTATTCAGTGTTTAATCTTTAAACATATTGTGTTTTTGAAGTGTTTAGTATTTAAACAGAATGAGAAAAAAGTATTTAAATATTAAACCTCATGTGTTTAGAATTTAAACATTCTAACGTGTTTATTTCTTAAACACTTCATGAGATGTTTAAATTTTAAACGTGTTGAAGTGTTTATTATCTGTGGCAATTTGGTGTTTATTTTTAAAACACTTATTTTTTACAGTGTAATTTTTTTATTTCAACAAAAATCACGGTTCCTTCCTTGAAAATAAAATTAATCTCTGGGATACATGTGTGTAAATTTATGTTTTTGCAAGGCGGGGTTTTTATGGAGCTTGACTCCTAGTCGACCTTAAAATATACGTAATTTTATCAATTCTTGTCATTAATCAGAACTGATAAAAACTTCAACTTAGAGGACTTCATTTTTGCCCTACAAAATCTCTAGAAATCAGAAGCTCTCAGGGGAATAGCTTTGTAAGTTTTGGAAAAGATCCATATACAAGGAACTCCCAGCCTTACCTGGTGTTAACTTGCCTTTGTGTCGCACTTGGGTGTACACGAAACAGGTTAATTTTTGGAGCTGGGCCATTCCCAAATAAGTTTTAGCTTATTCCTTCCCAAGTAAAATTTTATAAATAAAATATACTTGTAAGTGTTTTAAACAATTATCAAATTAAAAAAGAAGTACATGTACAAATCAATTATACAATATTTTACGTACTTAACCCTTCTTTTTACGATTTTTAATACAGACATAAATATAACCAATAAAATTAATGTCTTTCTTTAATATGTTTGTTATTGTGGGATTAACGGTCAAACCATTACGGGTTGTATTTTTTCTGCAATAGCTACAACCGTTATTTCCGCCCTAACAAACATATAGAAAGCAATATATTGTTCAAATAATGCCGGGAGTCTTTGCTATTTTTTTCTACCTGAAGTACATTGAAAATATATTTTAGAAAGACGGTGTCAACAAGTATAAATTAGTGAATACGCTGTTTATACAGATTTCAAATTCTTTTTGATTTGACTAAACTCTGCTTATGCTGCATAATCTAAGAAACATCATTTCCTCCCTCATTACTTAAATGAAATTAATCTCTGTTTCACTAAAAGTCAGCTTTTTGTAAATTCTACGGACGTTACAATGACCTTGTTTGTTAATACAGCCTATTGTTGGGTCGTATTTTGTCTGACATGTTTCATACCATTTGATAGGTTACTATATTTATATTCTAAATTTGACTACAGTGATCAATATATAGGGCTTACGGCGGATGTGTCTAGTCAACAGGGGATGCTTACTTCTCCTAGGCACCTTATCCCACCTCCGGTGTTTCAGGGGTCCGTTTTCTTTGGGATTTTTTTTTGTTTGTTTGTTTGTCTGTTTGTTTGGTTTTTTTTTTTGTTTAATTTGTTTTGTTTGTTTGTTTGCTTTTTGTTTTGTTTTGTTTTTTGGTTTTTTGATATTGTTGTTTGTTTGTTTGTTGTTTTTTTTTCCCTGGGTTTATGAGATTGATCACTGTTTTCCACTTATCTTCACCTTGTACATTTTATGAAAAGAGTTACATTTGTCAAAATGTTCTGCCGATTAACTTAGCAAAAGTATATTTCAACATTGCACAGTCATATCAAATAAATCATTTCAAGGTATGCGATGAGTTCCAAATACTTTGACCAAAGTAGACAACGTACCGTACCTTCAATCCATATCAGCTTTACCGGCCTCTTATCTATAAAACGCCACACAATGAACAGTAAGTTTTAATGATTACAATACCATACTGAGAAACAAACTTAGGTACATTGTATGAAACATTCAAAATATGAATATACAAATTACAGATTGATTTACTTCTGTAGTACGTGAAAAGATCTAAAGTTCCAAATGTATTCAATGTGATTAATTGGCCATATTATTATTACTGCACATACGACTTTTTAGTCATGACAGTTATTATCAATGCCAAAACTCTCTCTTATATATGTAATCGGATCCCAAACAGATTATATATATATATATATATATATATATATATATATATATATATATATATATATATATATATATATATATATATATATATATATATATATATACAAATATTTTAGATCTGGTGTCAATATTGCTTTTCCTGAGTGCAGAATTGTCACAAGGTAAGATTTAATGCCAGAGTAAGAGACAACAAAAAATTTAACTTTTTCATGCTTATAAATCAAAGATCCGTAATTTCATTTCTATTTTTCGATAAAAGCTCACAAGCAACTCTAATAACTATCTTCGTGTATAGATTCAATATTATAGATGTCATATTTTCAACAAAAAAAAATATCTTGGACTATTTTAGGATAAGTGTTGTTGTTTGTTTTTTTTTACAAGGTAATTCAAATAGTAAATAAAATTACTAAATTTTACAAAATGGCAAAACTGAAAGGTTATGCTCTTCAGTTGTTTATTACCCCATATATACCAAATATAAGCTTATATATACATTTTCTCTTTTATTGTTTTGGCCTTCTTCCGTTTAATCGAGGCATTAGAACGCCCAATGACATCGTGAAACCTAATTATGGAGGTATAACCCGGAATTTGCTTATAATTGAAAACATTGACAAATTTACACATACATGTAGTTATAAATCACAAGGGAAATTAAGGACAGGTGATACAAAAAACTTTTATCAAATATCATGAAAATAACAACTAAAGTCATGCTTATACAAGTAAAATGAATAAGTTTAACGGAATAGATTATATTTTTTTATTCAAAGTTCCATAATATGTGATTTAAAGTAACAAAAAGTTTATTTATAAGGATAATTGAGGAAAGGTAAAATTTGAACATCATAGATAATTCACAATTTCATAATATTTTAGATATTTGATATTTGCATCATTTACAACCAAAAAAGGTCCATAAAATATTTAAATACCAAACCAAGCATCAAATTATTTTTGTGCCATCTGACCTTAAGATTACTTAAACCACAGGCCCTTAGATCGCTATATAAAAAAATTAAGGTCTTAAAAACCCATTTTTTTAAAGTCGGATTTAAGCGATCCAAAGGCCTGTGCTTAAAACAGATATTGTCCATGAGTTATCAACACCTATCTACACATGTTGGCCATGGAAGATATATTCATTTATTATACTTTCATGTTAAATACTAAAATCTGATTGGTTTAGACACATTTAACAATCCGTAATATTACCCTCAGCGTTAGCAACATACTTGACAACGGCTAACATTACGAAAATATCACATGCGTTCAAATCATGCGCGTACGGTTCACCGTAGAATTCTCAAAACGTCGGTTGTGCGTTTGAAAGAAGCCAAATAAACGACGTCAATAAAAGCTTGCGTCCGATGTAGCTTACTTGAAAAAGACAAACGACAGACGAAACATCCTTGCGAGTGCAAACTTTAGGTGCTAAAGGACTTTTTGAGTAGCAAACAAATAATAAAGAGGTTGGTAAATCTTTTACGAAGCTTTCCTATTGAGAAAAATAGAAGCGGGGAGTTTGAAAGCTTTCTAAGCGTGAAGTTAACGACGATCTCCGAATTCTTTTATGACATCCGAAATCAATAAGACATTCAGTATAATAAAATAAATAGTGCACGTTTTTGAGCGTAACAGTTGAAATTGACACCCCTCAGAAAACCATTGTCAACCTCCGCTGACGCGTCGGTTGAGAATGGTTTTCCTTGGGGTGTCAATTTCAACTGTTACCCTCAAAAACGTGCACTATTTATAAAATATGCTCTTATTTCACATTATGCTGAAAAATATAAGATTTATTTAACGTCTGTGTTTGCAGATAGCATGTCCACAAAACAATCGGCGCATTGTTTTATTATGTTAACGGTAACAAACTTAAACAAGAAAACAAAAATTATTTTACTCATAAATAAGGTGATAATTAATAACGATATATACCTATAGATATAGTACAGTGTTTATAAATATTCAAAAGATGAATAGGTATAAAATTAACTATTAAATCCAAAATATTAATTTTTGACAGAAACGAATCTCCGTACAACAAGAAGCCCAAGGGCCTTAAAGGTCACCTGAGTATAATACAACAATTAAAAGGATCCATAAATATAAGATAAACTGATATATGAAGCTTTGCTGCCCAAAAGCAAGAGAAATGGGATGATTAGGATGAATGAAATAATTAGTATTTTATTCAGTAACAACTCATAAATTAAGAATCTTAGATATATAGCAGAATTCCCACAAGGGAGTATTTGCTATAAAGCAGTTAATCCGGGGGCATTCTTTACTATGGGGGAAATTTTGCTCTATAACACCGTTTTACTAGTTGTTTCTTTCCCAGGATTAGCCTTGATGTGTCTGCAGTGTGTCAACGTCATTCAACCACGTCACTGCCATGGTATAACATACTGTGCTGAGAACGAGGTAAGTAAAACTAAGCAAAACATTTTAATTGTTAAAGCATTGGATTCCAGGCACTGAATTTTGCATAAAACTTATTTTCTCCTTGACAAAAATTGTTAATTTTCCGGTGACCTATAGTTGTGAATAAATTTATAGACCATGAGTAAGCATAATTGAATACATTGCAGTCAAGGGCTCTAAAAAAATAGCAATTTTACATCATGTAATGTCTATATTATGGCTTAGTGACCTAAACCTTTGAGGCTGGGCCTTGAGTGTAATGGCTGCATTAATGACTGCAAAATAAGAGAAATTTTACTTTTTAATAAACTTTTTAAATTCATTAAATGATGAAAGTTATAAATATCCATAATAATGAGGCAAAATTAACCTTGGCATTTAGTATTAGTTATTTCTGCAGTGAATAATTGTTCAGTATTTCTAAATTACGGCCCTATGTCAATTATAACACTTGTGATCTGATTTTAGGTCTGTTTCGTGGAAAAAGTGGTTTCATCTGACGGAATTCGCTACAACTCAGGATGTATGCTAAATGATGTGAGAGAATGTTTGTCTACTTATACAATCCTTTACATGTGATGTATGTCTTTTCATACCCCCACCAATAAAAAATCGATTAAAAATCCAAGGAACATTTAGAAAATTTGAAATCACAAAATTTTAATAAAATCAATAACATCAAAAGGTATAGGACTTTTCGACAGTTTATACAACCATTCGTCATGATAAAGTAAAGTCCATACTTTTTGACATCATAGACAGCTGCTTTTTCAAAAGAAATTGAACTCAATCATAAATTTACATACCTTGTCATTGGTCATTTGCAAAATTAGTTTGTTAAAAAACCTTCTGACTGTACAAAAATTAAGTACTCCAAAGCTGATATTAAAGAGATACTTGAATTTCTGATTGACAATATCTATGTATTTTTTGGAGATCAAGTCTTCCAATAATCTGTTGGAATACCTTTAGGTACTAATTGCACCCCGTAATTAGTAGACCTATTTTTGTATTCAAATGAAGAAGACTTTATTAAACATCTTATACATGAACAGAAGAAATCTCGAGATAGAAGACACCACAGAGTCTGACACGTCTTTCATATCTGGATAATTTACTAGAAAAAAAAAACATTAATGGCAATCTAACAACCAAATTTTATGGTAAACTTGATGGTTTCAACTTTTCTATCGTCAATTCCCCTTATTTATGTAGCTATATACCATTATCACCAGCATATGGAGTTTATGTCTCCCATTTGATTCGATACGCAAGAGCATGCTCGACATGCAATTTTCTTAAACGAGGCAAGCTATTGACAAATAAGTTGATAATACAAGAATATCAACAGTCCTGTTTAAAGTCGAAATTTCGCAAATTCTACGGTCGATTCAATGATCTTGTTAGCAAATACAATCTATCGTTATGTCGAATGTTGACTGACGTTTTTCATACTAATTCAACAATTGTTAGGCCATTATTTTCACAATAAATTGTGAGATTTTTCCGTTTGCCCGATCGTGACAGGCAGGTGTGACCGGTCGACAGTGGGATGCTTATTCCTCCATAACACGAGTTCCCACCTCTGATGTTTTTAGAGGTCCGTGTTTGCTCTGCTCCCAGTTTGTATTGTTCCAATGGACTTTTGAGCTTGATTACTGTTTGTTAACTTCCTATTTCTTTTAGGAGAGTTTTTAGGATCCATTTGGGCACAAACATTATTTTATCCTAGCTATGTAGAGAGGGCAGAAAAATCTAATCGAATATAACACCGGAACGTATTCAAGCTTCAAGATCAGGCATCTTCACGCTGTGAAGTGTGAAGCGAAAATAAAGGGTTGAGCTTTCATAATGATGCAAGCACTTTCTAATGATTGGGTATATTGCTTTTATACCAGTCCGCCTGTCTGTCACATTATTTTCTTTCTCAAAAATTCCTTCCACTTTAGGCAGTTGCCAAATCATGCTTTGGGATATGATTGGTGGTGTCCTGTAGATGTGTAAAAAGGTTTTGGAATTTCTCGGAAGGCCAATTAGGGGTCCAAAAATTTTTAAACACAAAAATCTTCTTTTCAAAGTTTGCTTCATTAATATCTTTAATTCAAACTGGTAATGATTTTACTATATGAAATTCTAAAATAAGTGGTCCATTTAACACATGCTCATCTGAGCTAAAAGCTGTGAATGAAACATGGATTTTTTTTTTTATATGTATTTTGATGTTCATCATCGAACCGTACCATTCCTTTTTGTCATGCAATTTGTGTATGATGATACACTTTGAAATTTACATGTGATTCTTTATAAAATAAATAATTTATAGAACTATGCAGCATACAGTGCTATATCAAAGAAAGATACATTTATTTTTAAATTAACATTTTGCCTTCCACCGCTTTTTGCTTAACATTTATGAAATTTGAACACAACACAATTTTATATGACTTTCATTTCAATTTGTAGGTGAGCAAATTCAGTCTAGATCAGCTAACTTTGATAGTACATTTGATATATATTTGATATATATTTTAATTGTTCTGAAAGAGAATAATTTGGCAGAACAATTGTTGAAATACTTTAGGCCAATTATTTGCATAATAAAAAAGGTTCAGAACATGTATATATGGCGTATCAATACAAGGTTATTCGATTCTATAGTAAGCAAACATTTAGCTAGAAAAGAGAATTCATACATTTTTTTTCCCTCTATCCAATTATTATATAGCTTTGATATCCATGTAATATATGGAATTTTTCATAGTTCCTTAAAAATCAATCAATTTTGGAAATGTACAAAGCCGTCATCTTTTTGGAGATCAGGTATGTGTAAGACAGAATTCTACCGGTTCTGTAACAGCTTATACAGACGGAGTAACACAGACGATAACATGTACTGAATGTTGCCAGTCAGATCTGTGCAACTCGAAAGGTTGCGGCGAACCAGGTTTGTCATTTTTTATACTTTTAAAAATCAATACGTCAATATTTTGATTTAAATGACTTAGAAGTGGAGAGAGCCTTCACAAGCAACATATCTACATGTTAATTACAACAACTAAATACAATACTGGTAATTCAGAATTTAAACTCATATACTCCTTTATGGTTATATTTGTACGATGTGATATGTGAATACTAGTATTATTTCAGCTAAAAATAAACAAGACTGCAATTTATAATGTAAATTACTGAGACAATTATCATTAAGACTGTTTATATATGTAGTTCTTTAAACTCTTTTTCTTAATTCTCAATCCACAATGTTTATTTTTCCGAGACAATGAGCTTTAAGGAAGAAATAACAGTATGTCTTGAACAACAGTGTATATATTTTGAAGGACTTCCAATCAACCGAGGTCCTGTGTGTTTAGGGTGTACTCAGATACGTAACGCTTCAGCCTGCCAGACAATAACCTACTGTAGAGAATCGGAGGTATGTACATGTATCAGTCCCTCTCCTTTCCTTTGTTCTTTTTGATATTCACTTAGCAGTCGTAAATAGTAAAGTACAGTGATTTGTGCAATCAATTTTATATATTAATCTTTAAAAATGTAATAAAACCATCTCTATTGACCAATTTTCAATTTACCTTTATTTAAAATAATTTCATGACGAATAATTGTGAAAATTACTAATTTAGTGGGTTTTTTTCTGTAGGTTTGTCATATCACAGAGATTGCTGAGTTTGGGGATAGAATATTTTCGACAGGATGTATTCACTCACAGGTACCACAGTTTGAACCACTGACTTAATAATCTTGACATCTATATCACATGCATGTATGCATGGCAAATCTAAAGGTTATTGGAGCAATCCAGTGATTGAACTGGTGAATTGTTGGTCGTGTGTCTTTTCTTTAAAAAATCCCTCTAACTTCTAACATTTGGTGTGTTTATAATAGTAGTAATGTTTTTAATTATGCCCTCACATTCTCTACATTTGAGTAAACACTGGTTTTGGATACGGTTGTCTGTCTTTATCATAAAATCAAGGACGGGCTATGAACCTTAGACTCGTAATAAGCCAAAGCTTAATGTTTGTCGCAAATTACCTACAAGTGCAATATCACATTGACTCAAAGTCATATCTTAAAGTCAAGGTAAGTGCAAGGTCGTGTGGATCAGGCTTCTTATTTGCCTGACAACATTTCTCTTCAGCTTTGACTTTTATGGAGCCACTTTATCCTTCAGGTAATCCCGTGTTTTGACCCTTTAATTTCTTCCTATAGATGGAGTGTCCATGATGGTGAACAGTCTTTGTGATTCACTACGAGGTTCCGAAACTTGTCCTATCCATGGTGCTTGTCCTTTTCTTGTTTTCAATGGCTTCATGATATGCTTGTCTTTTCCTTGTTTTCATCGTCTCCTAGTGTCTTATCGTACACTTTCCTAGGCTCTGCAATGGCTTCATGGTACTTGTCTTTTATTCTTTTCTGCGTATTTTAGGATCTCATCATACACTTTCTTTGGCTATTCAGAATTGACTTTTTGTTGTTTTCAGTGCGACCCCAAGCGTATCATCATACACTTTCCTTGGTTTTTCCATGACTTATCTTTTTCCTGTTTTCAGTGCTACCCCTAGTGTCTCATCATACACTTTCCCAGGTTCTTCAATGGCTTCAAAGAGCTTCTCTTTTTTCTTGTTTTCAGCGTCTATTCACCTTCATTTTGGCCAGTGTAATTAATTGTATCCTCTTTTGTTAAAAAAATCATTTAACTTCTGACTATGTTGATATTGTGATTCATCCAGAAGGATGACAATTCTTTTGCCGGAAAATGTAAGCTTAACGGTATCTTAGGTCTTCTTACCTCCTATTACTGTGGTAATGATGATGTTCATTCCTGGTTTTAAAAAAAATTGCTGAGTTTGGTGCAATATGCTAAATTCAGTCATCTCAACAATTTTAGCTAATAAGTGAACAAAATCTCAACTGTATTCCAAAAGATTTCATTTTTTTCTAATCTTGAATGGGACATAGTTATGCTCTGTTACCTTTTTTGGACTCGTTTTTGTGAAACAGATTAATATGAATTTCGTATGTTGCATTGGTAAATGGAATAATGATCTCTCGTATGTTTGTTCATTTATCTTTGATGATTTCTTCTTTCTTGATTGCTCTTTTTGAACAGCTTCTCTTATTCTATGGATTTTTATTTTAAGTTTATTTTTCTCTTGGTTTTGGAGGCTTGTTTTCAATACCTTAACCGCTCACTTATTGCTATCTATCTATCTATCTATCTGTTTTGTTCTTTAGGAATTATATTCGTAATTCCTAGAATTACCAATATATGTTTATTAATGTAATGTTGTTAATAGTGTACTAAATGACATAAATAACTCACCCGAAAGCCGTCAAACAAGTCAGGAAAAAATCATTATTTGCTCTTAAATAAGTCAAAACAACAAATACAGGTCCGTAGCAATGGGGGGAGGGGGGCAGCTTCCAAAAACAATGGCAAGCTAAACTTGGAAAAATCTTATTTCGTGTGGTTAGGAGGGAGGGGTCTCTCTGTAACCTTTCGATAATTTTAAGCAAGATTTCGCGGGAGAAATTGACATTGAAAATAAATTATCATTTATGATAAAATTTAGACATTTCTGAAAACGGAAACCAACAAACGTGTCAAATGAACTGCAACATTTTTTTGGTTCAAAGACCAGAAACTAAAACAGACCTAAAGTCAAAATTTTAGATTTCAAATATCTTGATTTTTTTTCAATAAAACATACTCGTATTTTTTTTTTAAATGCAAATTTGTAAAATATTCAAAATGCAAAGACGTAAAGAAAATTTTATTTCATTTTATTTTCAAAGAAGCTGAAATTTCAAAAACTGATTATTTTTCTTCGGATAGAGATCTCCGTTGCTTCTGTCGATGTCGTCCGTTCAGCATTTTAGTAATCAGTATACATTTCAAAAACATTTCATGAACATCGGTTTAGTATCTGAAATACATTATTTTCTCTGAGTTAGTAAGAATTTCTCCTTAAAACTTCGAGTTTATTAGAAATAAATTAAAATTAAATTTTTCACATATATATTGTTCGTTAATGAAAATAATTGATTTCTATTTCTTCATAGTTGTGTTCGAGTTTTGCTTCCAGACCCTTTGCAATACAGGAATTGTCCTCCTGGCACAATATCACAAGATCTCAACCTGTTTTACCATTTTCAACTGTTCCAACAACGACAACTGATCCAGTGACCACAACCAATACTACAAGAGTCCAAACACATACTCACCACACTAGACCAACGCATAGACACTCAGTTACTGCATCACCTATTGGTAAACTAGATTATTCATGAAAGACAAAACCAATAATACAAGAGTTCTGCAAATTGTAAAGCTTTGAGAATGAGTATTTAAAGGACAAAAATTGCAGCTTATTGCAGATAGCGCAAAGAAATGTGCGTTTCAATAAAGATGCAATTTTACGAAGCTTCTGTAAAATGTAATTATTCGCTTTCACGACTAATGCTTTTGAGTTTCAGGGTTAGCGTCCTGCTTTCCTTTCCTTTTTTGTGATCGGCTTCGGCCGATCAGAGTCGATTTTATACATCTGTGCTTACGTGACGCAACGGACTACTCTTCTTTACTATGCAATGACAGCTTCATGTTTTGAAATATGGAGATAATGAACAGTAATCAAGCCCAAAAGTCCATAAAAACAATACAGATCGGGAGCAGAGCAAACACGGACTTCTAAAAACATCAGAGGTGGGAACTGGTGAATAAGCATTCCCTGTCGACCGGTCATACCCACTATCTGCTCCTTGTCATGATCGGACAAACGGAAAAATAAGTAGACAATTTAGGGTGTAATTAATGGCCTAACAATTAGTATGAAAAAAATAAGTCAGCATTCGAAATAATGATAGATTGTATTTGCTGAAAAGGTCATTGTATCGACGATAGAACTTGCAAAATGTTGACTTCAAACGAGACTGTTGATAACCTTGTTTCATCAACGTGTTTGCCGATTGCTTGCCTCATTTTAGAAATTGTTCGTACGTAGAACATGCTATAGCGTATCGAATCAATTGGGAGACATAAACTCCATATGCAGGTGATTGCTACATACATAGGGGAAGCTGACGATAGAAGAGTTGAAATCATTACGTTTATCAAAAAGTTTTTTTGTTAGGTTACCATTAACGTCTTTTTCTAGCAAAATATCCAAATATGACACAGACGTGTCAGACTCCGTGGTATCTTTTATTTAAAGTTCACTGGGATATATCGAGTCGACATATGAATGGAAGTTACTTTTGTTAATTGATAATACGTCGTCGGTATACATGTATCTAAATGTCGAGATATAGGCCGCAGCAAGTGTTTTTTCTTCTAAAGTATAAGTTTCTGAATAAATTCTGCTTCATCTGAATATGAAAATAGGTCTAGTAATAGATACCGGTATTTCATGACATGTTAAGTGCTATTAAGCTTTTTAATGCATTTTCTTTGGAAAGCAAAGAGTATAAGTTACTTGTGAATAAACATGCGCAAGAATTTCATTAGCTTCAGAAACGGACATAAATCTTTCCCTTTAGAGGAAAGTCTATTTGTTCATTGTTGTTTCGAGTAACTCTAACTCGTACATTTGTTTATTCGTTTATAATTATTAGGTACTTGAATGTTCTGTACATGCTGTGCCATTAAGCAGTGCCAAAAGTTTAACATTTTAAAATTCACTTCCTTTAAAAGGAATACTTGATTCCTCTTTCTTTTCCAATAAATGATAACTGAATGTTGTTATAATATGTATGGGGGAAAATACTATTTCTTATATATAAAATTGTATTTACAGTAATTGCAGACAGTTGTAGTTACCGTACTACAGCTTACTGAAGTATGGCTTGACCAGTATATAATACAGCGTAGAAAAAATTGTCAGTGTAAAAACTATGAATCGCAGCTTAGAATAAATACATACTTCTATATTTTTTTAACTCCTCCGTCAATTGAAAACACAAGCTTAAGCCAGATTATAAAAGCACTTTCGCACTATAAAATAACAGGACAATCAACACAAGTGCACAATTAATCGTTTAACGTAGTAAAGTAAAAATAAAGGTAAGGAAATAATTGAAGGTAAATAATGATAAATAAAGGAGAAAAAATCTTGAAGATGCAGGACTGGGACATTCAATCAGGCGCGAATCCAGGAATTTTTTTCCAGGGGGTGTCCACCCAAGTCAAAAAATTTCCAACCAAGAAATTTCTTGAATTTCTTGACCAAAAAAACCCCTAAACTCCTTTCCAAACGTATCAAACCAAGAAAATATCTTAACAAGCAAAAAATAAAACAAAAAACAAAAGATAAAAACAAACTAAAAAAGCCAAAAAAAAAAAAAACCCTAAAACGTTAAGTGCATTTCCAGACATAAAGAACTATGATGTGCTAGTGGTGCGGTTCCACGTTTTCCGGGGGGAGGGGGTCCAAAGTCATTTTTTATTTGCTTCAGTATATACTTTTAATAACTCTGCAACTTCCATGGGGAGTCTGAACCTCCGATAACCCCTCTAGATCCGTGCATGCATGCTCAATGGCTTAAGAAGAGTACTGTAGAGGATTCAGTGATAAATCCACTATATTAAACACAAAATAATTTGTTATTCATTGAAAGTGACAGATCGTTAGACACAGTGACATACCTTAAATAAAATACCAGATCATATCAGATTTTAGTCTAATCGGATAACTACTGTATAAACAGTGAAAATGTCGCCCCGTTCTTTTTTCGCTCCTTTCGCCTTCGATGCAAGAGGAATTTAAAAAACGGGGCAAACTGAAAGAAGAGAGCACAGTCTCGTAAACAAAACTCTGTTAGGACGAATTAAAACTGGAGAAAAATCGTTTCCAAGTGTCAAAGGGCGCAAATAGCATATGGGGCAAAAATGACCCTGTATACAGTACACTCTTGACATGGTAAAATGAAACAAAATATTTCAGGTGTTGTTGTTGTGGGTAGGAGATTAGTAGAGAAGCGCTCTGTAGGCTGTAATCAATGCTGCTCTGGGGACCTCTGTAACTATGAGTGCTCTACAGGAGGTAATGTAAAATGCTATTTGACAATATATCCTTCATAAAGATATGTTCATTGACGTATTGTAAAGGCTGATATCCATCTAAATTTAGGACCAACCCAACAATCTGTCGAAAATTCATCGCCATGGTCTATATCAAGCAGTGCAGCTCCAGAATTAGTGACCAGGCCACATATATTCTCCACCCAGTCTTCTGTTTCCTCCCTTACCACACCCAGCAAGGGACCTTTCAATGTTCAAGGCAGGTATTGCTGTGTTGTAGGAGGATGTGGCTTTATAGCAAATACTTAGTCCATAATGCATTAGAGCGAAACAAAGGATGAACTCAATTAATGTACATGTCTGTGGTTTAAAGTGTATTAGCACACAACTTGAATTTAATCTTGACTAAGCTTGCACAGAATGACTTGATTATGGAGAAACATAAATGGGAATTACAAAGCAAATGTATTTATTTTTGCTGTATTGTTCCTCTTCTATGAAAACGTTCTTTTTTTCTCTCTCTACATTTAGGTACTGCAGGAAAGGAGTTCCTTCTGGCCTTTTCAAAACACGAAAACGGAAATGACGCAGACAACATTACTTTGCTGTTTACATCCACCCAGAATGGACACCTTAGTATATACCTTCCCGAAAACAATGCATACATTAACACAACAATAACAAAGGGGGATAATTTAATCGAACTAGATCCGCATATTACTCTTAAAGGTCTTCAAAAGGAAAATAAGTCTGTACATATAGTAACTGATGTAAACGTAACACTGCATGTGCAAGAATATCGAAATGTTTTTGACACGGGTTATCTGGTTTTACCTTCGCATTGTTTGGCTAAAAAATACATTGTATCAACTGAATCTGCCTTTGATGGAGCAAATCCATCTTACGTGACAGTTGCTGCTCTGAAGGACAATACAGAAATTTCATTTATTCTTTCAATCAGCGAAAACGATACTATAGAATACAACGGTAAAAGTTATAGTGACGGAGATACAATTAACGTTACCTTGGATCAATATCAAACGTTTCAATTAGCAAGTGTTACAGATTTTACCGGAACCGTTGTTCATAGCTCAAAACCAGTCTCCGTTCTCTCTGGTAACACGGCCACAGTAGTTCCAAAACCCATAGATTCGTCCAAGATATTTGACGCCCAAACTCTTACTCAAATGATACCACCGGTGAAATTTCTCGGACAAAATTTTATAATTCCGAAATTACAGGACAGGCATAGTTTTTATTACAAGATAATTGCTTCTTCTCCAAATACGCACGTGACTGTTGAGGACAAGTACATAACGCTTCCAAACGAGGGATCCTTTCAAGTATTTGAATCCTTGCATGGAAGGTCTGTTAATATTTCAAGTGACAAACCCGTTTTAGTTGTCCAAGTTCCGAAAACGATGCAGTCGCATTTCGATACAGCCAGTGGAGCAATGATTTTAACTCCCTCTGTTGAACAATTTAAATCTGAGTACGCAGTTATCGTTCCTGACCCACCAAAACGAAATCTTCAAACTCAGTACAGATCTTATATTTCCATCATTACTGAATCTAATGAAGTTGATAATATTAATATCGACGGAAGAAAATACGATACCTATAACTCTAATCTGCAGACCGTTCATCTAAAGGATAAAGTTTACTCCGTAATAACAATGCAGATGGACGCACCTGGTCTACATGAGGTAACGAGTGTATCTGGACATCCCTTCGGAATAATAACATACGGATTTGATTTCGCACAGGGTTATGGATACCCTGTAGGACTTAAATGTTAAACATATGTTCATCCATCTTCAAGGTGCTGAGTATTAAAAGAATTGTGTTTCATTTGATACTTAAGGGATTTTTTTGAGGGGGTCTATTTTTTTTTCGATCAGACTCAGTAATGATAACGTATTAAGAAAACTAAGAATTGAACAAAAATATTATTTGATTCAAAGATAAACGATGCAAACTCGTTAAGCAAACCTCGTCATCTTTCTTGGTTGTTTTAGGATGTCCTATTTCTGATGTTCTAGCACCGGCCGCGGTAGCCTAGAGGTAGGGCGTTCGCTTCTTGATTGGAAGGCACGGGTTCGATTCTCGTTCGTCGCGCCGCCTCAAACCTAAGATGTAAACATAGGTGGTCACCGCTCCTTCGCCAAGCGCCCGGTATTAGAAATGAAAGTCAGGGGTCTTTCGGATGAGACCTTAAAGTCCGACGTCCCGTGTCACGGTGGTTGTTGGCACGGTAAAGAACCCGCACTGCTCAATGACCATGAGTGCCGATTTGAAGCCCTTCACCGGTATATGGTGACGTCTCTATATGAGTGAAAAAGTCTCGAAATGGATGTTAAACAGCATACAATCAGTCAATCAAACTGATGTCCTAGTCCACTGCAATGAGATGCAGGATGTCATTGGAGGACCAAAATTAATATAACCATTCGTATCACTTTGGAGGTTCCTGCTAAGTTATGTTCACTTGCACGAGACATTCCAGGTGAACATAACATTTTTTTTTCAATGGGCCAATAAATGGATAAAATTAGTTATGAAAAGTTATGTTCACCTGCACCCGACCTTCCAGGTGAACATAACATTTATTTGGAAAAAACTTTGAAATTGATACAACTGATCATGAAAATTTATTTTACTTGCATTCAGTTCCAGGTGAACATATTTTTTTTCCTACTTGTTTATCTTAATCCCGCTTTTCTCACTGTGTTCGGCTAGGACTTCAACAAATGTAAACAATCAAAAAAGATGGCAATGTTTGCTTAATTAACTAGTTTGTATCATTTAATCATAGAATCATATAACAAAACAATTTATGTTATTTTTCAGTCAATACTGATACCATGAATTAGGAACCCTAGAAGTACAATATTCGCCTCGACCTTTGGGCTCGGTGAATATTGTAATCCTCGGGTAGTTGAAGTACATGTATAAACTTTTTGACCTGACTACACTGTTTAAAATTTGGTACGTTTACTTAAAATTTTTCTTTAATTAAAAAAAAAAATAACAATTTAAAAAATAAAAAATAACATTTTACTGCTTATTTTTCATTAATCAACTAAAGTAGACGTAATATTACTCAAACACGTTGGACGCTCTGACATTGGTTTCGGGTTATGAAGTTCAAGATTTGAGGTATATTTCAAATGCTGGAAAAGGGATGGACCCAGAAAGACAGTTTTTCTCTTCTTATATGTAGATAACCCCTAGAATTTTAAATCTTTATAAAGCTGAACACAGATCTGTGCTATTGAAATGACGCGATATCAGAAAAAAATTAAAAAATTGACATTCAAACTAAAGAATTTAGGAGTACGATTATTTCTAACACCTTTGTTATTTGTGTTTATATTATTATGGTAAATACGTGAAATGGCGGGGGACAGATCGAGGATTGGCATGAAAGCAGATTATTATTTGATACACTTATTCAGTATTATTCACATTGGATGTGAACTTTTCAAATGCATTATAATAATATGCAAACATTGAGATATATTCTTTTCAAGTTGTTATCATATTACAAACAATCAATATCGACACACTGTGCCCTTATCCAAACACAACATTCTTTAATCCTGAAAGTCAACGAAAACAAAATAAAATGAAATAGTACTATACACTTATCCACTGGTTGTGAGTGGGATAGCTCTTTTATCAAACCCGCGACAGGAACTATTCCCCGAGGGCTTGCCCGAGGGGAATAGTTCCTGTCAAGGGTTTGATGAAAGAGCTATCCCACTCACAGCCAGTGGATAAGCGTTTTATTATACTGATGTATATCATAATTTCAGAGGGTTTGTATTACCTAATACTACAGTTTCATAGGCAAAACATGAAAATAATTATAATAGTTTTGAGCAGGTATTTTGAATAAGATAACACTGCTGAATGAGCTGAAATCTTGATGACGTCACAATGCTACTGAAGTCAGGATGACATCATCAGCTCAGTCTATAGACTGATTATAGGAAATCAAAATTGGCGGCAAAAATTGCATGAAAATTTTCCGAGGGGTGGATAGCAAAAACTATACCCCGGGGTATAGCTTTTCTGTGCGTGGAAATTTTCAGACTATAAAAAATAGTTATTTTACCTTCTTAACTTTATATAGGAAACATTTTAACAGAAGTATAATAATATATATTATAATATAGTATAATTATTTAAAATATATTGTTTGAAGGTTATTTTACGGATGCAACCTCTAGGCTAGGTAAAATGAACAAAAGTTTGTACGACTCAAATTTAATGTACACGGTTCGTTTTACATACAGTATCTTTCTCACTAAAACTTTTTCGTGCTATTTATTTCTTGTGAATATACAATGTCCAAGTAGTTAGATAAAACCAAACAAATGTTGAAAATTACATTTATGAGGTTAATTCAATAGATATACATGTACATAGAAAACCTATAGTCTATTAATTTGTTAAAAATACTACGGAAAAGTCAAAAATTGACGCGACTACACGGTTTATGCTGACAAAAATAGCTACCAATCACCTAGTAATCTCAGACTGTAGAGAAGTAAAACAGAACCTCCAGTATCTGTTTACGATGTATATATAAATTCAGTTACGCAAAGAAAAAACACTTCACACATAGCAGTTGTTTCAGAGGCATTCACATTATGAACAGTGGAGCAGGAAAATCCCCTTCACCCAAAGGAGCAGTCAATTTTTCTCTGGCCATCCTTTCAACTACATTACTTTCGTCTGTGTTGCTGGGTCTATTTCTCTGGCGGATGTATCTTCGATGGACCGTCAAATGCAAGAGTGAAAATCGCATAGATGGGAAAACTGTTATTATAACAGGTATTTATGACATTTATGCGCAAGTTTTTTTTCAGCCTGTATAGAAGCAGTTTGCTATTTTTTCAATTTGTTGCACACATCTGAGACTAGTAATTTTTCAACACTCCTGGTTTATTTTAAAGAATTTTTAGTAATTTTTGTGATAGTTTTGAAAATTTGGACTTCTGGAAGGTAAGACTTTTCAAACTCCAAATAAACTTCTTGAATTTTATGTTTTCTCAGCATTATGCATACCACTTTTAGAAAAACCCTGTTGTCTTTCTTAAAGCTTTACAACACAGAATAGAATTTATACTAGTAAATGCCTAATAGATAAGTTAATTTCATAAATGAATAAGTTTAGTGTATGAGAAAGATTTTGACAGTTAAAGACAGACCGAATACGCTAAAACAAATACCAACATTGAATGTGAAATTTTGATAAAAACGAAAAATAACTGCACATTTCTACTTTTGCAGCTAATCTTGTTTTCGAAAGCGGAACATTTTTGCTCATCTGAGCTGAAGCTAAAGTGAACTTTTCTTCAATTGAAAAGTTTCCGGCGTCCGTCTATCCAGCTGTCCGTCTGTCTCTTGTTTGTCGTGTGTTGTCTGGTAACTGTTCACAATTTCGACTTCTTTTCCAGAACCACTAAGCCAGTTTCAACCAAACTTATCACAAAGCATCCTTGGTTGAGGGAGAATCAAAATACCCTTTTTCAAGGGGAGATAATTAAGAATTTGTGAAAAATTATTAACATCTTTTTAAAATTTATTTCTCAAGAACAACTGGGCCAGAAAACATGAAGGGTATGTGAAAGCATTCTGACTTAATGCAGATTCAAGTTTCTTCAAATCATGCCTCCCAGGGTGCGGTGGGACCGCAACAGGGGATCAAAGTTTTGCATAGGAAAAACATATTTATATACAAGCATCCTCAGGTGGCACAGTTTCAAGTATGTTCAAATCATGCCCCCCCCCCCCCCCCCGAAGGATGAGGTTACAATAGGGGATCAAGGTTTTACATAGGAATATAAGGTAAATCTTTAAAAATCTTCTGTTCGAGAACAGCAGAGCCATGATAAGTCATATATGTATGCAAGAATCCTTAGGTAGCACAGATTCAAATTTGTTCAAATCATGCACGCCCCCCCCCCCTTCTCCCGGCAGAAGAGTGAGGCCACAATAGGGGATCAAAGTTTTACAAAGAAATATATAGGAAAAAATGTTTTAAAATCCCCTCCTCAAGAACAGCAAGGTCATGATTATTGAAATTGATATGCAAGCATTTTCGGGAAGTGCAGATTCAAGTTTGTTCAAATCATAGCCCCGGGGAGTAGGGTGGGGCCACAATAGGGGATCAAAATTGTCTATTGGAATATATAGCGAAAAAAATGTTTAAAAATCGTCTTCTCAAGAAAGGCAGGGCCATGGTTAAAGAGATTAATATGCTAGCATCCTCAGGTGGGGCAGATTCAAGTTTGTTCAAATTGTGGCCTGCGGGGAAAGGGTTGGGTCTCAATAAGGCATCAATTTTTTACACACGAGTATATAGCAAAACTCGCTAAAGTCTTCCCAGGTCATGATTATTGAAATTAATATGCAAGCATTCTCAGGAAATGGAGTTAAAAGTTTGTTCAAGTCAATACCCCTGGGGATAGGATGGAGCTACAATAAGGGAATTAAATTTTTACATAGAAAAATATAAAGGGAAAAAAGTATTTGGCAATTATCTTTTCAAGTACAGCAGGGCAGTGATTAGTGATATTAATATGTAACAATTCTCAGGTAGTGCATAATCAAGTTTGTTCCAATCAGGGACACCACGGGTAAAGTGGAACCACAATAAGGGATCAAAGTCTTATCTCAGAAAATATAGGTAAAAATTTTAAAATCTTCTAAAGAACAGCAGGGCCATGATTAATAATACCGATATGCAAGCATTCTTGGATAGTTTTCATTTAGTTTTTCATAGGAATATATATAAAATATTGAAGAAAAAGTCTTTAAAAATCTTCTCAAGGTCAGAAGAGTCATGATAAGTCATTTTAATAGGCAGACAGGCTTGGGTACAGATGCACTTGGATACAGATTCACTGGGGTGCAAATTCTAATTTGTTCAAATGCTGGTCTGGGGAGTAGGGTGGGCCACAATAGGGAATCAGAGTTTTACATGTCATTTTTAAATCTTCCTTTCAAGAACAGCAGGCTTATGATTGCTCGTATTAATATGCAAGCATCCTCAGGAAGTGCAGATAAAGAGATCTGAATCAAGACCTTCATGGGAAAAGGGGGGGGGGTAAAATATATTGGATTTTTTTTTTTAATTTTTGCTCAAGAACTATTAGGGCATGATTAGTCATTTGAATTTGCAATCTCAGAAACATAAACGGAAAAAAATCTCCTCAAGACAAGCAGGGCCAGTGTGACTCAGGTGAGTGATGTGGTCCATGGGCCTCTTGTTTAAAAAAAATGTTGCAACGTCAAATTCTGCAAAGCAGTCAAATAAATTAAACTGCAACACGTAATTTATGAAACATTTCTCTTTTTATCAGAAATAACCCGAGACTTTTTATGGACATTCAATAAAAATCCACGTAGAAACTTAAATAGAGAAGATATGATTGCTTGTTTCTCTAGGAATTTCTGGTATATAGAATTGATCTTCTAATCTTCAGTATGACGGAAACTAATGATATAAATTTTGTTTTAAACAAGATTACAATGAATTATATATCAGTAACGGTTACTTACTATATGACGCCCTCTTAAACTTTACTTCTGATACTCCCAGCAATCTTTAAGGTCATACGCAACGTAGTTTTGAATTTTATTTTCTTATTCCCTGTATAATTTAAAAGTTCAAATAATTGAAGGACCTTTTGCGTTTTCATAATGTCTGGTAATGCTATATATCTGAATCAGATGTTGAGGAAATACCAGCTCAAAAAGTTTCTTTAAAACACAAGGATTTTCCTCATTTGATATCTGTTCAAACCCTTTGGTAATGTATGCTGATTTTTTTGTTCAGGAACATGTGGTGGTACTATAATTTTAAATGAAGAATTTCTGGGAAAATTATCAGTTGGAAAGGTACCTTGTAAAATACATGTACATGTACGTTGCGTATGACCTTAAATCGTCAGTCTCTATAGACTCTCAGACAAATATCAAGCAATTATTACTTACTTGTAAATACTATTAGCGAACGTGTGTGATTTGTTTTATGGCATAAGTTCGTCATATTGAATATGACTGCATGAAACGTACGTATGTTCGCACTTTTAGATTTATTAATCTTAAAAAAATTAAAGCAAACAATAGTGGGAAAAAAAGTATCAATATTTCTTCAAACAATAGACATACCAGTATAACATGACAAAAATATTATTTTTCAAAGAGAATATTAATTGATTATTTGTGTCCTGGTGAGATTATTTCACACATCAGGATTATGCTTTCTGTGTGAATTCTTTACACGGATAGATCGCCCAGAGACTGCGTGTCAAGGGACAACAGGCTACAGATTAATTTATTCCTAAGACTAGGATCATTTTGCAAGGCTAAGAAACTCCATAAATACAATGCATGGGATTAGTAAAAAAAAAAAAATCGTTCATAAAATTTATTTTTTACTGTTAGATCTATTTGACAAACCGATTAATTTTGTTTTACTGTATGGTTGTAAAATATGGGGCGTTGAAAATGTTATAGCGAATGTATACATTTTTAAAATGTAGAATTATTATTTGTTTACGATAGATATACCAAAAATGAGATCAGTAATCCACGTAAGTCGTGTAAACATGATATTTCTAACACTGCAGGAATGTGTAATGTTTGGAATGATCAAAGAGTTCAAAGCGTTAAGCTGATTGCTTCTACAATAAACCAAAAGCTCAACCTAAATAGATCAGTTTACAAAACCAGAAGTCTCTGATGAGACTGTAGCTCTACTGGTCTGTTTGTATAACAAAAGAAAAGTAGCACTTGGATTTGAAACATTGCAACATGCAACAATAAATAGAATTATGTATCTTAAAGTAGTCTACTTCTGTGCCAAGTTATATTGAAATCAAATGAAAACTGTAGGAGGAGTAGCGTTTTGAAAGTATTTCACGGAAATTTCTATTTTTAGTAACCATGACAACACCATTCACCCAAATAAAAAGAAACAGAAATACATATTATGTATTGTAGTGTATTCTAACTGTGTGCCAAATTAGATTGAAATCAGACCAAAATTGTAGGAGGAGTAACGTTTAATGGGAATTTCACAAAAATTTCTACTTTAAGTAACCATGGCAACACTGTTCATCGAATTCAAAAACCAATCCAATAAATTATGTATCTTAGTATAGTCTCCTTGTATGCCTAATTATATTAAAAGCAGACTAAAACTGTAGCAGGAGTAGTGTTTTAAAGGAATTTCACAGAAATTTCTATTTTTAGTAACCATGGCAACACCGTCCATCGAAATCAAAAACTGATGCACTAAATTATGTATCTTAGTGTAGTCTACCTGTGTGCCAAGTTATATTGAAATCGGACCAAAACTGTAGGAGGAGTAGCATTTTAAAGGAATTACACAGAAATTTCTATTTTTAGTAACCATGGCAACACCGTCCATCAAAATCAAAAACCGATGCACTAAATTATGTATCTTAGTGTTGTCTACTTGTAAGCCAAGTTATATTGAAATTGGACAAAAACTGTAGGAGAAGTAGCGTTTTAAAGGAATTTCACAGAAATTTCTATTTTTAGTAACCATGGCAACACCGTCCATCAAAATCAAAAACCGATGCACTAAATTATGTATCTTAGTGTAGTCTACTTGTGTGCCAAGTTATATTGAAATCGGATCAAAACTGTAGGAGGAGTAGCGTTTTAAAGGAATTTCACAGAAATTTCTATTTTTAGTAACCATGGCAACACCGTCCATCAAAATCAAAAACCGATGCACTAAATTATGTATCTTAGTGTAGTCTACTTGTGTGCCAAGTTATATTGAAATCGGATCAAAACTGTAGGAGGAGTAGCGTTTTAAAGGAATTTCACAGAAATTTCTATTTTTAGTAACCATGGCAACACCATCCATCAAAATCAAAAACCGATGCACTAAATTATGTATCTTAGTGTAGTCTACTTGTGTGCCAAGTTATATTGAAATCGGACCAAAACTGTAGGAGGAGTAGCGTTTTAAAGGAATTTCACAGAAATTTCTATTTTTAGTAACCATGGCAACACCGTCCATCGAAATCATAAACCGATGCACTAAATTATGTATCTTAGTGTAGTCTACTTGTGTGCCAAGTTATATTGAAATCGGACCAAAACTGTAGGATGAGTAGCGTTTTAAAGGAATTTCACAGAAATTTCTATTTTTAGTAACCATGGCAACACCGTCCATCGAAATCAAAAACCGATGCACTAAATTATGTATCTTAGTGTAGTCTACTTGTGTGCCAAGTTGTATTGAAATCGGACTAAAACTGTAGGAGGAGTAGCGTTTTGAAAAATTGTTTACAGACAGACGGACAGACAGACAGACAGACAGACAGACAGACAGACAGACAGACGGACGGACGACGGACACCTTACTATCGCATAAGCTCTTCTGGTCTCTGACCAGTAGAGCTAAAAATGGTATGGTAATAATAATTCCAGTAAAGGTATATAATAAACAGAAGTTTGAATGTGAAGAATATTTGACTCTTCTAACAAGTAAATTTACAATTTTTGCGAAAGTTAGAACAAGTAACCAGCGCCTTCCAGAACAGGAGATGGGTAGGTGGTATAATGCTCAAAGAAAATGAAAGAGTGTGTTATTTTTGTCATTACAATCAAATTGGGATAAATACTAACTGGAATGGAATGGCATTCTCTAATGTTCGTAATTTTATAATTTAATTACCAATACTGATTCTACATTCTAAAGATAACTATATTAATCTGTTACCAAAATTTATAACTTATTTCGTTCCTCTCATCACTAATATTTTATGTATCTTTTGTAACATTTACATAGTTTTTTTTAGAGAATAAATGAATGTATGAATAAAAGAACTAAGTATTTATTTCAAAATTTGTAGGTTTTATTCAGAATACTTTGTAGGGAACAAAGAACAAGAGGTCTGAGGGAAATTTTGTATATCTGGAAAGAATAATATTTTTTAGAAAATGAATTGGTTGTCGAACTGTGCACGAGATGAATATTTTGGATACGTATATGAAATATATTTTTTGCAGCAACGTACACTATCAATGAAACGTGTTGGGATAACGTTATAAAAAATGAAAAATGCGTATCTCTCTTTATGTCAAAATTGAAAAGATAATAACATGCATTAATGAAATGCCTTTGACCATGTTTTAATGAAATTTGAACTGCGAAAATAATCAACTAACACAATCCAGAATATCTTAAGATTACAAATTTATCAAACCCCGCATGTTGTTTATGCAACTATATAATTCTTCCTGGAGTTCTATTTATCTTCCCCACAATCAGGCTTTTGAAGATCTATTACGATTTGAAGCTGAGACGTTTTATATTTTGTACAGGTGGGAGTTCTGGTATCGGGAAGGCAACGGGATGTGAGCTGGCGTCGCGTGGAGCGAGGGTTATCCTAGCGTGTCGCAATCAAAAATTAGGTGATGCCGTTGCCAGAAAAATTTCCAAAAAGACGGGAAACTATGATGTTATTGCAATGTATTTGGATTTGTCTAGTCTTCAATGCATACGTGATTTTGTTAAAAAGGTGAAGGAAAATGAAAATAAATTGAATATCCTGATTAACAATGCAGGTATGCACATATCATAACTATAGAAAAATAATACTAGTTTCATGAAACAAAATTTAAGATAACGAGAAATTAACAATATATATATTTTAATGTAATTACACGTATACAGTTTTGATTCCTCGTTGTATTTAGCATACCTTGGGCCAAAAGCAGCTACCGTAGATGGATACGAGAAGACATTCGGGGTGAACTACTTGGGCCATTTTTATCTGACGTATCTTCTACACGATCTGCTGATGAAAAGCGCCCCCTCTCGTATAATCAACCTTTCATCCAATTATTATGTAAAAGGAAAGTTAGATTTCGATGACCTTCCACTTGTCAATTATGACATGTTTGACGCATACACAAGAAGCAAACTTGCAGTGATGCATTTCACAGTTGAGGCACACCGGATGTGGTCACCAGAGGCCATTATGTCCTTCGTCGTACATCCGGGTATTTTACTTTTTTTTTGTACTTCTAAATAATGTTATAACATGTATGACTAGTCTAGTCTAAGTAATCCCTTAAAGAATTCTAAGAACTTCTGCAAATAAAAGCAACTGTTAATTAAAATTGTCATATCCTTTAACTGTTTTTATTGCTTCGATTCCAAGAAATGTTTTTTGTAGTATTTTAGAGCTTAAATTGGAATCGAAGCAATAAAAGCAGTTCATATCATATCGACGTGATTTTTTTTTCTCTAAGAGCATGCATGTAATGTAAAATATAAATATTTCTTAAGATGAATCGTTTTGAAACATATCTTATTTCAGGATGTGTTGCTACAGACATCATGAGACGTACAACAGGACTAATGGGCAAATTTTTACGAAAATTTGCAGAATTCATGTTCAAATCTCCTGAAGACGGCTGTCAAACGATTGTTTACTGTGCTGTGGCCGACGGCCTTAGAGAGGAATCTGGCAAATTCTTCGAAAATTGTAAAGTCGTTCCAACAAAGGACTATGTGCGAGACAAAAGTATTTGCAAAAGACTATGGCTCTTGAGTCTGCATTTGTGTGGGTTAGATGAAACTCATCCCGAAGTCAAATCTGAAACCAACGAGAAAATGTTAGCAGACATTGAAGCTGCGTCATTCAAACGAAAGCATTTCGAAGCAAACACTGCAGATTAATAAATATTTCTGTGTGAAGGCCACAAGCTGTTAGCAAGTTTAACAAACTCACTAGGCGTTAGAGATGAAGTTAGAAGCGTGAAGAGACATCATTCATTTTATACGTAAACTTCCGTTCTCAATCATCAGAAACTTCACCCAGCAAGCGAATGATATTTTCAATATCTAACAGTTTAAAAAAAAAAAAAAAAAAGAGTAAGTAATGCATGCTAATTAAATTAATTCAATGTAAAACAAATTTAAAGGACACAGAATAAACATTTACAGGAATATTTTTTATATTTATTATGCCCCCGGATCGAAAGATCCCGGGGGTATATTGTTTTTGTCCTGTCTGTCTGTTTGTCTGTTTATCTGTTTGTCTGTTTGTCTGTTTGTCTGTCTGTCTGTTGTCAACTTTAACCTTGCCCATAACTTTTGATTGGTTGGAGCTATGACTTTCTTATTTAACATGTGTATTCCGTGTGACAAGACCTTTCTTTGGGTACCATCATATTTGACCTCTTGACCTTGACCTTGGAGTTTGACCCACTTTTGCAAAATTTTATGAGACTTTAACCTTGGCCATAATTTCTGAACAGTTTGTGCTTGGGGTTTCAAACTTCACATGTGTATTCTTTGTGACAAGGCCTTCCTTTGGATACCAACAACTTTTACCTTTTGACCTTGACCTTGGAGTTTGACCTACTTTTGAAAAACTTTAACCTTGGCCATAACTTTTGAACAGTTGGTGCTTAGGGTTTCAAACTTCACACGTGTATTCCTTGTGACAAGACCTTCCTCTGGATATCAACCACTTTGACCCTTTGACCTTGACCTAGGAGTCTGACCTACTTTTGAAAAACATCAACCTTGGCCATAACTTTTGAATGGTTGAAGCTAGGGCTTTCATACTTCACATATGTAATCCTTGTGACAAGACCTTCCTTTGGATACCAACCACTTTGACCCTTTGACCTTGACCTAGGAGTTTGACCTACTTTTGAAAAACTTTAACCTTGGCCATAACTTTTGAATGGTTGGTGCTAGGGCTTTCATACTTCACATATGTAATCCTTGTGACAAGATCTTCCTTTGGATACCAACCACTTTGACCTTGACCTTGACGTTTGACTTTTATTTAAAAAACTTTAACCTTCGCCATAACTTTTGAACAGTTGTATCTAGGTCTTTCAAATTTCACAGATGTATTCCTCGAGACAAGACCTTTCTTTGGGTATCAACATTTTTTATCTTTTGGCCTGGATTTTGACTTGCATTTGAAGAAACTTTAACCTTCGCCATAAGCTGCCATACGGGGGCATCACTGTTTCACAAACACATCTTGTTGACTCATGTTTTATTCTTTGACATGGTTTTTTAATTGCTTGATTGCTCGACTGTAATGCATTTTAATTAATCTATATTAAAGTAAATGCATGTACGTTACAGAAGTTCTAACACACCTCTGTACTTTTCGTTAGCTGGGTCAAAAAACCCACGGTTATTTAAATATTTTGAGATGAAAATGCTTCTGTTTGTTTTTGTTTCATAAATGGATTTAGATGAAACAAGCTTCCGTGTTGTGCTTTCGTGTGACTACCCTTGCGAACATCACCTAAAAACAGTACTGATAATACGATATTCATTTGGCAGGTTACAACGAGAAAAAAAAGCACTAAAAACAATTCTTCATGGAAAAAAGAAAAGTTTTAAGAATGCAAAAAAATTTTTATGCTCGATCTTTTATCATTTCAGCGTCATTTCGTAAAAAAAATATTCTTTGGAATGCAGTGGCTTTGTTTTAAACAAAATGTCAAATTAAGTTTTTACAATAAAGAAGTAACATTCCTTTCCCTCTTCTAAAAACATACACACTCAGATGCGGGAAATAGCGGGCATGAAAATAACCAGGATACTTTCTTATCATCTATTCTTACCCATCCCAAATGGCAAGGAGCAAGTTTGTCACTATAAAAAACTCTGATCAGTGGGTCTAAAATGACAGATGCCAAAGATAATTGGCTAATCTAATCGATATTTTATATATCTACAAAGGTGATCGGATCTGGAGAGTAAGCTTTGGACAACATCAATTACATCCCTAATTATTTACTGCCTCGGACCTCTAAATATAAACACTACACTAACATGCTGTTACCATGAATTTAACTGAAATTCAGTTATGTAAAATATCAACTTGCCATGTTAATTGATAAGATGCTTCTTTGTTTCATTATTTATTGGATATCTATCAAAATAAATTAAATATGAACCACACCATTACCCACCCCCACCCCGGGAATTAACTTGTTAAATTTGTTTTATACGAGGATCATTAGGGCTTTTAACAAAAGATCTGTGGACCACAACCCTCACGAGATTTTTAAAAGATTGTCCCTTTTATTCTTGTACAAAAAAATTGAACCCATATTGTGACCTCATCCTACATTCAAGAGGGTGTGACTTAACCAAATTTGAATCCAAACATTATGAGGATGCTTCACGATCAATGTCTAACATGGCCTTGCTGTTCTGGAGAAGATATTTTTTCCTGTATACATGCACATGCATTATGTAATTTTAAAAATTTTAATAATGCGATTCTTTCCCCATCCTAACTCCAGGGTCCATTATTTGAAAGAAAAAAATCCACACAACTTGAGAATGACTAATATGTTTTTGAGTGGTCATACTATTCTTTAAAAAGACCTTTTGTATTTCTTATTTATTTTCACGTAAAACTTTGAATCTCCATTGAAGTCTAATCCCTACGGAATCGTATAAGTGCCACGTATTATTTTTTAAGTGGAAAATTCCAACTTTAAAGTTAGTTTTTCCAACTATTAAGTTTGCTCTTCCAACTTTAAAGTTGGTAATTCCAACTTAAAAGTTGGCAATTCCAAATTTAATCTTGGTTTTTCCAGCTTTAAAGTCATATATGGCGTATTTTGGATAAGTTTTGACTAACTAAATTTAAAAAAAAATCTTTCTATTTGTTTTATTACTTTATATAAAGATAAGACTTTCCTGTAAATTACACGATTTAAATCAATCGCGTTTCATAGATATTAGAAATTTAAAACAATAACCGATTTATTTACCGACTCCGCATTTAAATATCAGACACATATATACAAAACGAATATAAGTGTGATCTCTTAAATAGGTTTGGTTGAAATCCTCAGCTGTCATGTACGGAGTAGTATGAAGTTATTAGTCCCCTACCGGTGAAACCGGAGGGGACTATAGGTTTCCTCTGAGTCTGTCCGTCCGTCCGTCTGTCTGTCTAGCTGTCTGTCTGTCAGTCTGTCCCACTTGGTTTTCCAAACTTTTTTTCTAAACGCTTGCAGATATTGAGCTGATTTTTGGTATGTGGGTGTATCTTGATGAGTTACAGATCAAGTTTGCATTTCGTTCCGCTTCAATGATTTTTGACGGAATTACGACCTTTATTTTCAATTTTTACACAGATTACACTTGCCGGTAGGGGACTAGTATTGCTAATGCAATACTCTCAGAATGCTTGTTCTCTGTATAAAATTATATATGATAGACCAAAAGAAATATAAGGGCTTTTAAAGTTGGAAGTTATATGTAAGGTCATAGGGAAGGTCAAGATAAAAAAAAAAGTTGACAAAGATTAATTGTTCACCAATTTGTTTCAGTGCATAAAGTTTGCATTAATAAAGTTGGTAATAATTTAAAATACGGGGAAAAAGCTAAGAAAAAGGGTTAGAAAAGCTCAAATATTAAAGTTGGAAAAGCCAAGATTAAAGTTCGAATTGCTAACTTTAGAGTTGGAAAAGCCAACATTAATATTCCAACTTGAAAAAAATATATATTACGTGGCACTAATACGCTTCCGTATAAATCACATCCCTTGGGGTTATAATTTGAACATCTGCTTCAACCTGAAGATGCTTCCAATGAAATGACTTATACATATGTACCATGGCCATACTGATCTTGAGATGAAGTTTTAAATGATTTTTTAAAGCAGGTTTGAGTCAATCTTGAACTCTGTGCACATTTTTCTTCAACGAACAATATTATGGAATGAAGAAGAATTACATGTTACTGTTTAGACACAATAATAGACCGATTTTAAAGTTATCACTCTTATACAGTTATCTAATACCTTTCTTCTTGTAAGAATTATGATTATGCAACATTTAATTGAGCAACAAATGAGGAACTTCTGAGCCAAATTCCAAGGCTCTGTGATGAACATTTTCAAACACATGCAGTCCTGAATTTGCATATCAAAACTATACCAAGTTTTACTCTTACTTTGAAAGATATCTCTTTCACTAAGAGAGATATCTTTTCACTAAGAGAGATATCTCTTTTACTTAGAAATATATCTCTTTTACTTAGCTCTTATAGTTACTTGGGAATGCATCTACTTCAATAAATCTAGGTTAGATCCGTCATCCGAAGCAAGTGTGGTATTGTGCATCCCTAAATGCATCATACATGTATGTTTCATCCACATAGGGCTTACAGATACATGGGAATCAACCAGCTGTAAAACTGAGACTTGTTAGTCATCCAGAAAATGTAAATCAGATGCTGGATCTGAGGCAAGTTTTGTATTGTGTATCCCTAGATGGCATAATCCATGCTACTTTGGTCTAGGTAGGACATAGGCCTGTTTACTGTAACGTTTTTACTAAATGCAAATAATTAATAATTGGGTTCGCTTAGGTTTTTCCCTAAGAATCACGCTTACAATGTAAAATCAAAACAAACTTCAATAATATCAATGTCACTAAAAGAACAAGTGACTGAAATCCACTATATATACCTTTTCCTTGGCCCTATCTGGATAATGATTAGTAAACTAAATGAAAACGAACTATGACAAAGGAGTCACCAGTAATCAAATCTATAACGTTTTCCCTGTAGCTGCAGACTGAGTGGTTTAACCAACAATTCTGTTGTTTCCCGACACAGTCTGCAACTACCCTAAAACACACCCTAAAGAGTCACTGAGACACCTCTATAATTTAAAGTCACCAAGACACAAACTAAAGTCACCAAGACCCAAACTAAAGTCACCAAGACACAATCCTAAGTCACCAAGACACTAATCACTGAGACACTAAGGAACTAGATCCCTGAGCTGAGTGGTCTAACTAACAATTCTGTTGTTTCCCGACAC